ACTATCAAAAAATAGCTTAAAAGGGGCTAATAATTTTGACCTTAAAATTTTTTTTATTAAAAACTTTTTAATATGCTATTATCCTAGCCGAAAACAAACTTTCTCCAGAAAAAAATTAATAAATAATAATATTTTTATCAGACATATTATGAAAGTTTCCTTGCTCTGTTAAACATAATTTGGGAAATATTTAAAAAAGAAAAAAAAAATCAACGGGGGTTTAAAAATGTGTAACTACATTTTTACTTTTTTTAAACTTTTTGCAAGATTACATACACTGTAAACCCTAATGTTGTCTTTACTTACACAATTAAGTAAAGTTGACTGAACATAACTTAAAATTAAGCATTTTTGTCCTATCACTTAAACTATGAGTTAATTTAACTTATACCATGAAAATGCATAAACTTAAGATTTCAAGTGTGTTGAGCTCAAAATCATGATTAATCCTTTGAAAAAGTAGGTTTTTTTCACAAATGTAGTCTTGACTGCAAAATTCTAATATGTGCAACCTTTTAAGTGCAAAGTCTTTTTTTTAATCGGACAACAATGGCTTCAGGTATAATTATTCATCATAATGTGAATAAATGGCTAATTATTTTTTGTTAAAAATTTATTTCATAGTATAATATATATATATATATATATATATATATATATATATATATATATATATATATATATATATATATATATATATATATATATATATATATTTAAACTTGTTGCCTCAATAGTAAAACTTAACTCACTACTAAGTTGGGTGCACTGAACAATTTAAGTATAGTCTACAAAACCGGCAAGTTAAATAAACTTAAATAAGCAGGTTTTGGGAGACTCTATTACTCTATTAATTGATTTAGTTTAGTCAACTTATTAGGGTTTTCAGTGTACTAAAATCATATATTATATTCGTATGTTATACATATCATGCTTTTTTGCTTATTTATTAATATATTACTGTGAACTAACAATGATTGAAATTGAATTAGTATTCCAAAAATTGCTAAGTAACAAATGCTTTAAGGGATTGATTCAATACAATTTCTTACAATTTAGAGAATATACTACTCTATGTTTACATACATAAGTTATTTACTAGTTCCCCCAGGAGTCTGTGAGTTTCATGAGATCAAAAAAAAGAAGAATCATGTGTGAGATGTGCATGTATTTTCACAGCAGTCTGTTTGAAATATCTGAATACAGTGTAAAAATTAAAATTATTCTTTCATATCATAACTGTATTGTTTTTAATATCAAATATTTAACTTACAACAATCCTCATTAGTGCTTATTCCCTTATTTATTTGTAAATGCATGTTTTACCAAATTATTTACTAAATTGTCCAGTTCTGTAGCTAACTATTTTTTTTCAATCGGTAGTTTGAGAGTAGCATATTTAACTGATGAGTAGCTTGTAGCGTAGCAAACTACCAATTCAGATTAGCTTCCCCAACACTGATTGGTTAAGTCCATTGTGTTGCAGTGGTTGAGCAATATATAAATATCAGATGACTTGTAAAACAGGTTTGGAACTGCTCATGATCATATGACTTTCATACAGATGCTCAGATTTAATTTTTTTATTCACACACATCATTTTCTTGGCTTATTCCATAATTTTTCAGAGGTCATCACAGTGGAATGAACCATCAACTACTATGGCAACAGCAGATGCCCTTCCAGCCAAACACCCCACACTCTCCCATTCACACATTAAAGCCCATTTAGTTTGATCCAATTCACCTATATTGCATATTACAGGGAGCCCACACAGAAACAGGCAGAACATACATACTCCACACAAAAAGGCCTCCGGGTTCAGCTAATGTTTGAACCAGCAACCGTCTTGTTGTGAGCGACCATGCTGCCCTTTTCTATTAATTGAAGCACATTTTGCTCTTTTGGATCATTCTTAAGTCTTGCTGGAAAACATAATAATCAGGGTTGAAAGTGCTGCTATATTTAAAACAAGAGGCCAACTCTCCATTCTGTGCACATTTTTTTTTATTAGAATTTTGTATAAAAAATAAATAAATGAACAGCAGCAAATGTTTGATCCTTACTACCCTGCATGAATTATAAGAACCTTGCGCTTCAGTGGACCTTTTAGAATAAACAATATTCTCATTTAATATATTGCTTCATGTTTTTAAAGCCAGAAACAGTGCTTAATTTAAGTCTTAATTATCGTGCTGTATTTCACATCCATAAATTATAAGTAAAGCTTAATTCAGGATGAAATTTTATATTTATTATTAAAATTATATATACATACATCAGTTCTGTCTGGTTCTTGAATCTGATTGGCTGATAGCAGTGCGATATTTTGCCAGTAACATTACACAAAGGCCTCTTCACCCTTTACCTCTGTGTATTACTCTGCTCACATACAGCAAGCAACAAGCAGGCTACAGTTTGACAAATATTACTGTTGTTAGACAACAAAATGTACTTTTGAGGCTTTTTAGTCGAGAATGTAGTTGTTTAAATTCCAACTATGCAGTTTATTTGTAAAAATGGTGCCTATTTTAAAATATTTACAATTTCTGAGACCTCGTTGGTGGTTAAAGACGGTTGACCTTGTCTATCCACAAGATGGTGCCAGAACAGCATAATAAGCCCTTGCTCAGTGTGTTTTCTTGAGCGCGAATAAAAAGCTGAAAAACGGAAGCCCCGTGATTTTTAAAGTGGAGCGGATAGAGTCAATAAGAAGCTGGATTCAGCCTTGTCCCTCCTTATCGCAAACACAACAGCAGTCTGGTGAGAAATCTCTGTTGACGGATTAGCCTTATAATCTTAAAATGTGAGCAAAATGTGCTGTTTTGTCATCACCTTAAGGGAGTCACACACCAGAAGCCCCGCTTCTCATTACGCTATAGAGAATCATTCAAATACAAGCTCTAAAGTGACGTTGGTGAATTAGTAACGGCTTCTGCTGTTCTGACGTCAGCTGCAGATGTGAATGAATGGCGGAACAAAGTAGTTCCTAATACAAAAGGGTTTGAGACTCTCTGTGTTTGATTTTCTTTTTTATGTACAAGATTGTGCCATTGAGCTGCATGTTGTATAATCGCAATGTCACACTCGTAGCAGTGTGCTATGGCTGTATATCAGCACTGGTAGTGCGCTAAGGGACTATATATATATATTCATTCATTCATTTTCTTGTCGGCTTAGTCCCTTTATTAATCTGGGGTCGCCACAGCGGAATGAACCGCCAACTTATCCAGCAAGATTTTACGCAGCGGATGCCCTTCCAGCTGCAACCCATCTCTGGGAAATATATATATATATATATATATATATATATATATATATATATATATATATATTTTTTTTTTTTTTTTTTTTTTTTTTTTTAAGCACTGATAATCATCTTGAAAATAAATCATATTTAATTAGTAACAGTATTAATAACATTAATATATTCTGCACAACTACTTTGTCTATATTTAAACCTAAGCATCATTTTTGAGCATGATTACTCTGAAAGATCAGATTCTACTACATGTTATAAAAAAAATCTTTACAATAAGACATAAACAAGGACAACAGCAATTCTGTTCCAGATGCAGATTTACAAGTGTTGCATGTCACACTGCAGGACACCGCTGTCACTGCTTGATCAACCACCTCTCTATAACTACAAGAAAAACAGGTGCACCCTTGCAATTACTACAGCACGTCAAGCAAACACCAGCACACAGAGAAAGGCTGATCTTTCTGTCAGCAAACACCGCGCTCATACGTGCAACGACTCTGGAGAAAACACACACGCACGCATCCGCACACACGCATCCGCACCGCGAGCACGAGTGGACAGCGCCGTGGTGCTGAAAACACCGCGCGGAGCTCCAACTGCAACCGCAGTCGCGCAAATACAACTGTCGCGTTAATGTTTAACGTCTGACCTATTCGACTGCACGCATTAAAACGTGTAGTAATCTCTGGTAAACGGCAGCTGATGGGATTTTTAGCGAAGATGGCGCCCACAGCAAACCCAGCCCACCACAGCCGCACGGAATGACCATAACTGAGACAAAATACTACAAGCACGAGCCACGGAAACCTCCGAGGCGCGTGACATTGACCTCTCAAGGCGAACCCGGCTGTTTTGTTCGGGCTCGCCTCAACAATAGCCTAATATTGACAGTCTACGTAAGCAGACGTATTAGATTTCAGGAGACAGTCATGCTTGAAAATGACAGGGAGCGTTTTTAAAGAGACAAATGCAGCCATCATCCACGAACCCGAGACTGCAGCACTGCTAGCCCGCATAGAGCCCTCCAGCCTGCTCGCCCCCCGTTTACCCGCAGATATCGTTCATTCAGGAGTCACACTTGTGTTGATCGAGGTCAAAAACAACCTGAAAACCTAATCGTATTATGAATTTGTAATGCAGTTACTGCATTGTATTTCAATTGTGCTGTAATTTGGTGACATAATCATGTATTTATGTAATGTAATGTATAAATAATGTATATATACAAGTATTTAAATGCCAGATTTTGTTGTCAACAATCCAATTCAAACATTAATATTCAAAATTATAGTAGCCTAACAAAAATGGACAATGAATGGATGATTACATCTTAGTTCAACTCAACCTATATGATCTAATTTGAAGCCTTATTTGAGTCTTGTAAACATTGTTAATCTCTCTGTGTTGCTAGCATAGCTGAAATATTGAATTTGCTTTGTGTTACAATCATGCCAGTGGCTGTGCATATGTGTATTTGTGTGTTTCATTTGCCATTTATTTGCTTCATTTCATTAGGCCTGTACACAAACAACACATGTGTGACTGCTTTTCACTTCTTACTTTTTCAGATGAAGTCCATGATTATTTCTTTTAATTTTTACTGCAGCAAAAAATATCCCATTCTGGTGAAGTACCAATCTCTAAACTCTTCCTTTTTTATCTTTGGTTAGTCAACAATGACCAAACCACACCACAGAGTTAAGGGTTGCTGAGCAATCTCCATCAGCAGGCTTACTTCAGTGTGGACTGCTCCTTCTCCTCCTCTTTCTTCTGTCTGTCCATGACCGAAAGGATGATCTTCCTCTCCTCCTCAGTGAGGTGGCTCAGGTCTGGCATGTCCGGCGGATCAGGAGCCACAGGGGACGTGGCCGGGGCCGGGGCACCCCGAGCTGACATTTTCAGGTCTATGTGCTGCTGAAAGAGCAATGAATGAACATTAAATGCATCTGCAGAGAGACATGTGCTACTGTTTGTGTTTATCGGACACATAACTGTAGGTTAGCATCTAAATGGCGTGATTCTGAAGAAATGTTGCACTACAGTAACACACAAGCTCATCTGTGAGACCAAGCTGCTGTATGTTCAAGGTAGACATTTAGCACACTATTAACGATAATCGATATAACCCCGTGACAGCATGGGAAAACGAGTGTACACAATGTAGCTTGTCACGCCGGCTCATAAAAACAAGCATCTTCTGAGAATTAGGTGTAAAACCCTTGGGGCTTCTCGCGTTACATGCCTGTTTCCGGGCATCCCTCGCATGCCTGTCGAATGTGTGGAGAGAAAACGAGTGCTTGCCTTTTATTTCGCAATCATGGTGAATGCAGTCTAACCCATGGCTGCTGCCGCTTATGGAGAGCTCTCGCGCATCGTCCAATGGCAGGGCGCGCGGTGCCTTATTGCGGTTCTCGGCGTCCTCGCTTCCGCCACCGTCCTCCTGATTCCCTCCTGGTCGCTGCTGTTAACTCCAAGAGATTTCTTGAATGCACAAAAATGGATGCGGTAGGGGAAACGGTCCGATAGGAGAGCGAGGCGGAGCGACGGTCTTACGTAGGACAAAGATCAGATGGTCCAGTCGCACGGGCGGGGGCAGCGGAAGTGCGCGCGCCCGGACACATTCATTGACAGGAGGCGTGAGAGGAGCTGTGATGTACTGTAGACTATAGAGATGATAAGTCATCATCACTTGTTACAGTTTTATGTCGCAGAAAGCAATTGGTTAAATGATCCACGTGTTCCTGGATGACAATTGCGAAACGCTATTAGACAAACCCAAAATGAATAACTTTAATAATTACCATCCAAATGGCAGATGATTATGAATAGGGTGTAAATAAACCATATGTAAATATATTTTGACTTTCTTCAAAACTGTAATCTGTTCAATCTCAAAAGCTAGGAGTTCTATCTATCTATCTATCTATCTATCTATCTATCTATCTATCTATCTATCTATCTATCTATCTATCTATCTATCTATCTATCTATCTATCTATCTATCTCACTATATATATATATATATATATATATATATATATATATATATATATATATATATATATATATATATATATATATATATATATATATACATATATATCTTTCATCCATCCATCTATCTATAATCTATATATGTATCTATCTACACTGTAAACCTCAAAAAGTTAAGGTAACCCAAACCATTATCTATCTGGCTGTCTATCTTTTTAAGAGCTTTTAAATCAAGTTCATTAAAAAAAGAGAAAGAAATCCAAATTCATAGATACATTATACGTATAAAAATTTACATTTTCTAGAAGCAGGGCAAATGTTTTCAACACTGATAATGATAAATATATTTGAACATTGAATATCGGAATGATTTCTGGCAGATCATGTGACATCACAAAAATTAACTAAATTATTTTGACAGAACACAATTTAACATTGTTTAAACCAATGTTTATATTATATTTTACACACACACACACATACTCAAATGCAGACTTGAACAAAAACAAAAGTAATGTAAAACTGCATTACAATAATGTATATTTTACTTTATTAACTCACTGTACAAAGAAAACAAAAGATTATTGCAATTATTATACAATGGGGCAATTATGATTTGACATGGTCAAATCAAATCATAATTTCTTTGCAATTTGTAATAACAGAGATTTGTGTCTATAAGCAAAAGAATTAAAACATTATTACATAAAAAATAAAATTATTAGCTTTTTATGCAGACTGTCTCATTTTAAGCTATTTAGGTTTAAATGTGCACCATGTTAGTAATAAGTGTAACATAAGAATTTTTAAAAAATACTTAAATCACCTGTGTCTCTCCCTGTCAAAATTATTGCAATAAAATAGCCTATCAAAATATGATTTTTTTTTTGTGATCTGATACATTATACTGTAAAACTCTTATTTGTCTTTAAATTCCAATAATTTAAATGATTGACTCACTTTGAACATTATCTTTTTGCACACTGTGATTCTTTTTATTTGGTCACTTTTTAGCTAATTTTCCTCCTTTAATTTGGTCCTTTATTTCATCCCTTTATTGAATTATATATTCATTCATTCAATAACGCATTACAATTTGAATCAATTTCAAATTATAATACAATTTATCTACTAAAATTATAAGAATCAAAGGATATTACTTAATGCACAAGCTATTAACCTAAAAGGACATCAATAGCAACTGTTGTACTTTTCATACCTAAAATACCACAGCAAATATACTCATTGTTGGTTAATTAGACAAATTCATCAACTACTGTTAAATAAAAAAGAAAAAAAAACTTTAAGAAGCATTACTTTATTTTAAATTTAAAATAATAAGAAATTACGATTTATACTGGTGTGCAAAACTAAATTAAAATGTTTACTCACAATTGTTCACAATTGCACTATGATAAAAAACTAAATTATCTAAAATGTGTCCAAATTTCTGTACAGTGTATATAAGAATTTAAGTATGCAATAATTTATTCATTTCTGCAAAATGGACACTATGTTGACACCTATAACCACATTACTCTTAACTGTAAAGCAGTAAAATAATATTGTTTGTTTTCTGTAAAACTGTTTAAAATTGTATGTAGCCTATGATGAATAGCTAGATGCAAAGCTTGAATCAACTGAAATAAATTAGGCTTAATACTATAGGCTTATAAAGTAGGCTAGCCATAGCCTGCTGCCATCTTTAGTTGTAGGCTATATAAACCAATGATATAAACCAATTTACTGTAACTATCCCATATAAATAGAATGTTCTGGTAAATAAAGACTATACTCCGTCTCAAAAAACTGCATACATACACAGATTTCCAAAGCCTGTGGAGAAGTCTGATCTCTGAATGACGTCACAATATATGTTGAGGAGATTCGCTACGTTTCCCCGCCCACTAACATGCGTCATCACGCTTTGTTATTTACCTTCTTCTCCCACAGTGGAGACGGAGAGGAGGTCAGATGTTGAACGTACGATAGCGCTCAATAATGGCCCAGCGGTGGCTATTGAATTTAAACACAGCATTAAATACTTGATGATATTTTTAATTACAGGGTTAGTGTGTCGCTTTTTGCATTCACACGGTGTTTTACTGCGTCTTGAGCTCTCAGGGTGTTCGTCTCTAGTACGTAAACAAACATGACCGCTACCATTTCCAGGCAGAGGCACGCCGCAGTCGCTGCAGACTCTTCTGGCTCTTCTTTTTCCATTACAGCAAACCTCCTGCAACTTTCAAAACACATCAAATATGAGAATCTTGCAGCCGGACTCGCTGGTGGTGTTATTTCCACAATGGTGCTACATCCATTGGATTTGATCAAAATCAGGTTTGCAGGTAAATACATGTTCAGCTTATATAACAATGCACAGAGTGGGGGAAAAACCAAAAACGTAGAGATGTCTGTAGACAGCATGCGTTTTATTTTCTTTAGATAATTAAAATAAAAGCATCTATGTATTATTATTCAATTTAATAATAATTATTATTATTATTATTATTGATCTAAAAAAAGACTATACATTAAAAACAACAATATGTTGTTATTACAATGACTCATTAAATGCATAGTTCACCAAAAAAAAAAAAAACATTTACTCACTATTTACTTCATTCTCAAGTGGTTCCACATCTTTATGAGTTTATTGAAAAATTATTATTTGAAATTATTTTAAAAATGTTAGAAACCTGTAACCATTAACTTCATTTGTAGGGAAAAAAAAACAAGTACCATAAACAAGTCGGTGCTATAGAGGTAAAGATGGTTTTATATTCGCACATTCGTTCATTGAGCAGTCTCTATATTGTTTAACGTTACCATGTTACTTTGAATATTTGATGATTAGCAAGCAAGTAAGACTTCTAAACAACATTAACACTATCTAATTCACTGTGAACAATGTTGTACTTTGATAGTCATTGGCATGCTAATATGATTTCCCTATTTAGAATTTGCAAAGAATACTTTTCTGAAATTATATTATTAAGGAGAATGTTTAAATATCCGAATATAAAACCAACTTTACCTCTTAGTCGGTGCTTACAGATTTCCAACATTTTTTAAAATAACGCAAAGAAGAAACTCAAATATGTTTGTAATAGTGATTATAAAAGTAAAAATGGTTTGTTTATTCATTTTTTGTAAATATATAAATAATGCCAACTTTAAACAGCATTTCAGTTGTTACCATTGCACTACACACAATAAAAAATTAAAAAATAAATACAAATAACAAATGAATTGGGTAAACTGTGCAATAAATGTATTGTGCTAATATAAGTTGACTACATTAGTCAAATATAGAAAAACACTTCCAAGCCTAAGATTTTTTTAGAGGATGTGCATGGTTTTACAATGTTTTAAGTGGGAAGTTGTATTTGTTCAGCATTAATAAATACCCTGACAAATTAAATGCTGAATTGTTCATTTAAATTATTGTGTTAACGTTAACTAATATATAATGTTATAAAGTATAAATAATACATGATTTAATGTCATGAAATGTAATATTCAATGTTTAAAAATTATAGTCATCATTATAACAAGATTAGGAAACTTATTCATAATGGGAAAACACTTGAAGAGTTCAGATGCAAAATCCTCTAACTGCCGTCTGAATTTTCTATCGAAAATGAATGTTTTTCTCAGCCTCCTTTGTTTATGTTGAGTTTTTTCACTTTAACAACCACAAAAAGGACTTTTTCTATGCCATAAAATTTATATTGCTTAACATACACAGAGGAGTCGCATAAAAATACTCATTTTGGAAGAAAACTTTAGATGGCATTTAGAGGTTTTTGCATCTGAACTCAACTTGTTTTCACTTAATGATTAAAGTAATCAATAATAATAATAATAAAATATTAATAAATTGATTGTTATCAATCTTGCATCATTATTTTGTTATTATGAAATTGAATAAATTGTTGTAATGTTAATCCAAATATATATGTGATCTCTTTTTTTTATTTATTTATTTTTTACTTTATAAGCAGCAGAATTCAGTTTGACAATCTGAAGAAGTGTGTCATGCTTACTAGGTTTTGAGAGACAGCCAGCAGCACTAAAAAAAGCATACACAGAGGGCATAGCACAGATTGACTGATAGTGTTACCTTTGCACTGGCCTTGGTGTGTTTATAAGGATATTTTTAGCAAATGCTGAAACAGAAGTGGGAGTGTTTGAACTGCATTAATGTTTTTGACTCCTTCCAGTAAGTGATGGTCTGAAAATGAGGCCCCAATACGATGGCATGTTAGACTGCATGAAGACCATCTGGAAGCTGGAAGGCATTAGAGGTCTCTATCAGGGAGTGACGCCCAACATCTGGGGGGCCGGATCATCATGGGGCCTCTACTTCCTCTTGTAAGTGTAGTTAAAGTTGTGCTAAAAAGGGAAGTGCTGAATGTAATTTCCTGTTTCAATGTTGTTCCAAACACAAATATAATCTACTTCTGTATACAACGGCATTCAAAAGTTTAGATTCAGTACCTTAATTTTAGGAAATGTATAATATTATTTTGCAAGGGTGCATTAAATTGATTAAAAGTGCGGTTTCTGTTAAACTGAGTAATTTGGTTAGTGAAAAACATTCTATTATAATGTCTGCAATAAATGAAACTGACAAAAGGTATTTTATATTTTATAAACATAGAAAGCAAGTAAAATTAAAGTAAAGTGTCTACATTATTAGAATACATGCAGCATAACATATTTGCAATAATACATATTCACAACAGTTCTGTCTGGTTCTTGAATCCTATTGGCCGACAGCCATGAGATATTAAAGAAATAATAGCACTCTTAAGGCTGATTTATACTTCTGCATCAAACGCCGGCGCTGACGCATAGCCCTTAGCCGCTGCCGTCGCCGTCGCTGACGTGCACCTTTCAAAAAATTTAACTACAAGTCGCAACGACGCGTAGCGTAAGCTCCGTGATTGGTCGGCTTGGTATCGCTGACGAGTCCGGGCAGGACCGAGAGCCGCGCGAATGGCGCCAGCGATTGTTTACAAGTGTGGAGTACCGTGAAGGAGCTCCGGATGGAAAGTTTTGTTTTGTGTTTACCTCATAGTTAAAGTTGTTGCACGTCCGCCGGTTCCTGCCTCAAAATGAGCGAGTTTAAGCCACTTGTACATCCGGGAAGTGTTCAGGAAAAGCAAAACAGCAGCGAAGAAACTCGACACAGAGGAACATTTACACCTCACTGCCAACTAGCGTTTCGGAAGTGTTAATGCAGACCGACAGAGACAGCGCGCAGAAGTATAAATGCACAGCCACGCGCGTTGCATGCGCCGTGGGTTACGCCAATCACTTGACGCAGAAGTATAAATCAGGCTTTACAGCCTCCTCACCCTTGTGTATTACTCCGCCCACTCGAGTGGAAAGCAGAGGACTACAGATGACAAGTTATGCAGCTGTTGGACAACATAATTACTTGTGTGGCTTTTTAGGTGAGAATATAGTTTAGATTAGCAGTTTATTTATAAGGATAGTGACTATATTGAATATTCATAGTTTTGGAGATTCAACGTATTTGTGGCCATCAGCCTGTCATACCGACCAGAGCAAAGGCGGTTGACATTCCGTCACAAGATGGCGAAAGAGACCAAATAATAAGTACTTAGTGGAGGAAAAACAGCATTTTTCAGCGTACGTTTAAACTACAGCAGAACAAATCATAACAGAACTGGTAAGTGACATTTTAAGTCGCTCTCTCTCTTTTGTATGTTGCAGTGCTGTATTTATACCATAGTATTCTCATATGGCTCGTTTCCACTGACTGGTACAGTACGGTTTGGGTCGGTACGGGTCACCTTTATCGGGCTTGCGTTTCCACTACCAAGGGTACACTTTTGGTGGGCGTGGTTTATGACAGAAATTTTCAGTTGCTTCATTTTCGCTCGAGGAAATGTCTACAATAAAGCTGTACGGGTCGCTCACATATCAAATGAAAAGCACTTCTCACAAAACAGATGCTTTACACACGTACATACTTCTGTTTAAATGTTTATTTCTAACTTTTCTATGAACAGAATTTGATTATAACTGCTGATCAATGACAGCGCGAATTAGCTTACTGTAACGTCTGTAATTATATGAAATAAATGAACGTATATGAACACATACAGCCCTTTACAGTCTCCAATATGTTACCAACTACAGAAAAACTACACACAGCAGACATTTCGTCCTTATTTAGGTTCAAAACAACACAAAATATAGCCCACAGTCAGAGCAAACCTTTCATCTATGTCTGTAATCTTCAGCAGCATGTGTAGCCTCTTGTTGGAGAGTAATTCCATCATTCCCAGTTCAAATTAGTCCAAAAGGTGATGATAAAAAAATAAAACAAGGCAGTTTGTTCACGTTTGCAGAATAAATAATGTGCTCCTTTTTTTCTGGCTTCTCCTTTGTTTTTTCGCGCTTCACTCTCGCATTTGTTAGTGTCTGACAGGATCGGGTTTCAAAAGCACGTCAATAATCAAGCGTTTGTTATTATAATGAACTCAAGAAGTTTGTTATTTCAGATATAGACGCGCGGCGAGTGCAAGCAAGAAAGCGAAAATGCTCGCACTTCAGACTGGCTCGTAAAAAACTACGAGGCACAGGGTAGATTCTGCTCTACTCCATGGCTTTGTGGCTGTTCATCAAGACGATGACCAGGTTTGTTTGAGCCCGGATCAACCATGGCTTGTTATTCTATGTATATATAATTCAGCTGTAATCTCTCGGCTGTGTGTGTATTTTAACCATGGCGTTTTTTTTATTTTTATTCTGGCTTGTTGGGTTATCTCTGTAAACCAATTGCGTTCAGCTGCGTGTCTAGCTTCACCTTTTGGTACACTTTCTTGTGTTAGATACCCTTTCGAAAGGTTGCCGAAAAAGTGGTAAGGTATGGTTCAGTTTGGTATGCCTTTTAACAGTGAAAACGACCATAAAAGTGTACCAAACCGAAGCGCACCGTACCACTCAGTGGAAACGGGCCAATAGTGTTTGTTTGGCTCTGGCTTTTCCAGGGTCTGTTCAGCTGCAGATGTGTATGAATGGTGGAAAAAAAGTAGTTCCCCTTACAAAAGTGTTTTTGAAAATTGTTCGATTTTCTTTTTATATACACGATTATGCCATTGAACTATTCTATAAATGCTATATCACACTGGTAGCAGTGCAATGTGGCTGTATATCATCACTAGTGGGACACTAAGACACACGACCTGCTGCCTCTAGCCAACGCAAACCTCCCACCAGTGCTGATATACAGCCATATCGCACTGCTACATGTGTGATATTGCTATATACAGTTGAAGTCAGAATTATTAGCGCCCCTGTTTATTTTTTCCCCATTTTCTGTTTAACGGAGAGAGAAAAAAATTTCAACACGTTAATAAACATATTAGTTTTAATAACTCATTTCTAATAACTGATTTATTTTATCTTTGCTATGATGACAGTAAATAAGATTTTACTAGATATATTTCAAGACACTTCTATACATCTTAAAGTGACATTTAAAGGCTTAACTATGTTAATTAGGTTAACTAGGCAAGTTATTGTATAACGATGATTTGTTCTATAGATCATTGAAAAAAATATAGCTGAAAGGGGCTAATATTTTTTACCCTAAAATGTTGTTTAAAAAATTAAAAACTGCTTTTATTCTAGCCAAAATAAGACTTTCTCCAGAAGAAAAAATATTATCAGACATACTGTGAAAATATATGTATATATAGAACATATATTTTGAACAATACATTAACTCTATGACTGTTTTGTTGTATTTTTGTGTCTAGTAAGATACATCTTTTAAAAACTAATAATATACTGTAGATGCATCAATAATCAATATTTGATCTATTTTTTTTAAATAAAAACAAAGTAAGTAAATATATGAAATAAAACCAAATGGAAGTGAGCTTTCTTGAAAAGGCTTGGAACCTTTAAAGTTCACAGGCCAAAAAAAGAAGCACCCATCGGTGCTGTGTCAGTTGATACTGTGCGAGTTATGAAGATTATGAAGTTATCTGACCTCATTTCAGTTCAGGATCTCTGGCTAACAAAGTGTGAACATCATACACGAACAAACACTAAAATATAAATAATAAGACCCTTGTTAATTTGTTCTCTCTCCTTTTGAAGTCATTTGATGAGTAGACCATATTATCAAGAGGACCTACTTTTCCTTTTGTTTTGATTTTCATAAACCTCATATTGCAGTGTAAGAACATTTTAAGCTGCGTTAGATTACTTAGAAGGGGATTTTGTGGCAGAAATGAAGTATATTCATATAGGTTTATATTACATTATTGATATACACTTAAATTATATATTATTATAATAAGAAATTAACAGCATTTTAGTTAAGCTGTAAAGCTTTGTGCATTTACTATATTACTGTGTATTGTGCAAAAAACAGTTTTTTATCTTACTGTTTTTCATAATAAGAAACTATAGTCATTTTTATTAATATGTTTTTTTAAATGTTTTTTTTTTTTTTTTTTTTTTTTACAGGTAATCCTAACTAAATTTAACCTTTTAATATTGAGGCTGTTACAGTTTTAGAGATATTACTAGTTTTGGAACAATCTCAACTTAAGCTGCAGTCAAATAGGCTTTTCTAGGAGATAAAACATTCTCAAATGTTCACCTGTTTAGTGAATGTATGTCATGTTTAACAACAATAAAGAATAGTTTGATGATAAAAACCAAATGCTTTGCAGTGCTCTGATTGGTCAGATGGTCAAATCAGATTTGTTTACCTATAATACATGTAACTCTATTGTTAGAGACAACTTGGGTATCTGTATTATATCATAATAGAGGCACTTTAATGTAATCCCTCATTCTTTTAAATCACCATAGTAAATGAATTACAATTGTATAGAGAGGTTGGTCATTTTCCATCACAGTACAATAGACATCTATGTGCTGTATAGCTCCCGGGAACACAATGTGATTGTTTTTTTCATCTTCCCACAGTTATAATGCTATTAAAGCATACACACAGGAGGGACGGCAAACAGAGCTGAGTGCATGTGAACACCTGGTGTCCGCAGCGGAGGCAGGTCAGTATGAGAAAACAACCTTATAATGTAAACACGGCTAAATATGTAGCTATGTTAAGAGACTGGAACAACTGGAAGTTCTGAGGGCCCGGAGACTCTGTGATCCGCTGGGTCATTCCTGTTATGGCAAACATTTTGGCTGTGCCTTGCTTTCTGTAACTGTAGGCTTGTTGTATTTTGTTATAATAAAAATACATGAGTCTGTTTACCAGGTCAAAGCCAGACAGTTTGACTTCATTTAAATAAGTTCAACTTTACTTAACTTTATTATTTACTCAATGATAAGAGAGCAAAAGGGGTGGGAAGTTAGTATCTGCTCAGATAGGTCTTTTGAGGACATCAGGTCGAACCATATAAAAAGGAATCAATAATTATAAATGCATGTAATTTGTTTAATTGTTCAGTTTTCATTTAAAAAGAGAGAAATTTTCATTATCAGTGCAGTTTACAGTGTAATATTAACATTTTAACAAGGTTTTTCTCAAGACTATATACAGTTGAAGTCAGAATTATTAGCCCTCCTGTTTATTTTTTCCTCAATTTCAGTTTAACAGAGACAAGATTTTTTCAACACATTTCTAAACATATGGTTTAAATAACTCATTTCTAATATCTGATTTATTTTATCTTTGCCATGATGACAGTAAATAATATTACTTGATATTTTTCAAGACACTTCTATATAGCTTAAAGTGACATTTAAAGGTTTAACTAGGTTAATGGTCGGCAGTTAGCTCTCTGCAACTCTCACATGGCCACCCACTGAAGCTAAGCAGGGCTGCGCCCTGTCAGTACCTGGATGGGAGACCACATGGGAAAGCAATGGTTGCTGCCGGAAGTGGTGTTAATGAGGACAGAAGGGGGCGGCCAACCTGCAGTCTGTGTAGGTCCTAATGCCCCAGTATAGTGACGGGGACTTTATATTGCTCAGTGAGGGCTGTCTATCGGATGAGACATTAAACCGAGGTCCTGACTCTCTGTGGTCGTTAAAAATCCCAGGATGTCCTTTGAAAAAGAGTAGGGGTTTCACCCCGGCATCCTGGCCAAATTTGCCCACTGGCCTCTGTCCACCATGGCCACCTAATCCTCCCCATATCATAATTGGCTTCATCACTCTGTCTCCTCTCCACCAATCAGCTGGTGTGTTCTGTGCTGTCTGGCGCAAAATGGCTGCCGTCGTGTCATCCAGGTGGATGCTGCACACTGGTGGTGGATGAGGAGTTCCCCCCCTTTGTGAAAAGCGATTTGAGTGCCCAGAAAAGCACTATATAAATGTAAGGAATTATTATTATTATTTATTAATTAGGTTAACAAGGCAGGTTAGGGTAATTGGGCAAATTGTTGTATAATGATGGTTTGTTCTGCAGACTATCGAAAAAATATAGCTTAAAGGGGCTAATAAATTTGCCATTAAAATGGTGTTTCAAAAATTAAAAACTGCTTTTTTTTCTAGCCAAAATTAAACAAATAAGACTTTCTTTAAAAGAAAAAAAATTATCAGACATACTGTGAACGTTACCTTGCTCTGTTAAACATCATCTGGGAAATATTTAAAAAAGAAAATAAAAATTCTAAAATTGTCAAATAATTCTGACTTCAACTGTATATGTTCCTAAAATAATTCTGAAAAAAGTTTCTTCAAAAATATTAAGCACAATCTGTTTTTAACATTTAATAATAATAATAATAATAGTAATAATAATAAACTGTGATCATTAAATTATCTTATTAAATATTTCAATGTCGAAAATACAGCTTTGTCATTACAAAAAAGTATTATATTTAACATTTTTTAATAGAAAAGTATAGTTATTTTAAGTTTGAAAATTGTATAATTTTACTCTGATATTGCTTGTCAACCACATATCTTTGAACAACATATCTATATTTAAAGACTACATCTGAAGACTACATTTTACCTTTATTGGACAGTGAGCACATTAGTATCGACACCCTTAACCACTAGGCTATTGGTACCGATATTCACCTTATTTTTAATATTAGTTCAGCTTCAGCCATGTTCAAAGTGTCCATTAATTAAGTTATTAGGGGTTTCCAGTATTTATTATTTATATTACCACCATGCTGTGTTAACAATGCGCAAGCTTGCGTTATTGAGGGTGTTTTTACATGGACCATGTCAATGTGATTCTAATAAGATTTTGGCAATACTGTGATTTCAATTTTACCTGAAAAGCAACATTTAAATCTACATTATGTGCTTAAGATCATAATTGCAGCAAGCATAATTGTATTAGCAAAGGTGTTGTGGTTCCTCTTTTTACTATTATAAGATATGATTTAGTTAAGAAATATAACATAAGGAAGAGTCAGAACAAGTTCTGTTTCCCTGACAACAAAAGTTTCAGAGCTGAACAACACTGAATTGTATCCCCCTTGACTGAATGTTTAAGAATTAAGTTATTTAGTTATCCATTCATAAAAACACTTGCTTAGTTTTTAAGCCTATGCATTTAACCATTTTAAATGAATAGTTTGAGTCACATTGACTGAACCACTCATTAAAACGGGGACTTGGCGCCACATACTGGTAGTTCAGTGTCACATTTATTTATCCACAAAAGGCTTAACCAGCCAGTTACTGATCAAAAAACAATTTCAAAACCTATTATATATGATTTATTTAGTCAAAATCATTCACCCCAATTAGTTGTATAGAAAGTGGTTGATTTTACAATTATTCAAAAATTCTGCAAGGGTACATTAAATTTGCCAAAGGGATAGTAAAGACATACATTTTTTTATGTTACAAATGTTGTTTCTACATGTCTGTTCCTAAAAGAAAACACATTCAATAATAATAATAGTAGTAGTAATCATAATAATAATAAAAATAATAATAATAATAATAATTTGTGAGCATCAAATCATCTTAATAAATATTTGTGAATGTAGAAAATTCCGCTTTTATATCACAAGAATGAATTACATTTAACATTCTTTATAGAAAGCAGTTATTTAGGTTGCAAAATTTCACAATTTTATTGTAATATTACTTATCAAGCTTACATTTTTGAACAACAATTCAAGCTTAAAGACAGGTTGTATTTGTATAGCTTCATTAAAACTGTCCAAAAATATGTTAAAATATTTTTGCCAGGTCACTTACCTTAACATACGCATTGATTCGGGTAACTGAAGAGGCATTAGTAACCAAAGAGTTCACAGCAAAACAGCCTAAACTGTGTTCTGTGCACCTACACTAATGCTACCAGTCTTCTCTGTTTACAGTGTACTGAGAAGCAAGGCCTTGATTTGGATTTGTTGTCATTGCAGATGTAAATCACAGAATTTTTTATTTTTTTTTTAATGAAAAATGGCTTTTAAAAATCCTATACTATGTTCATTAAGCACATTTTACAGAAAATATTGCTGCTGTAGAGAAATCCTCAAAGCCTTTTCACTAGACAGTCCGGAGTCCAAGTAGCAGTAATATAGAGTCATTTAAAATAAACTTCTACACTTGAAGTCAGAATTATTAGCCCCCCTGAATTATTAGCCAACTTCTTCCCCACCCCCCACCCCCCATTTTTTTTTTTTTTTTTTTTTTGCAATTTCTGTAACAGAGAGAGGACTTTTTTCAACACATTTCTAAACATAATAGTTTTAATAACTCATTTATAATAACTGATTTATTTGATCTTTGCCATACTGACAGTACAAATTGTTTAACTAGATATTTTTCAAGACATTTCTATACATCTTAACGTGACAGTTAAAGGCTCAACTAGGTTAATTATGTTATTGAGGCAGGATTAGACAAGCTATTGTATAATGATGGTTTGATCTGTAGACTATTGAAATAAGGTTAGCTTTAAGGGGCTAATAATTTTGACCTTAAAATGGATTTTTAAAAAATTAAAAACTGGACTTTCTCCAGATTAAAAAAATATATATACCGACACACTGTGAAAATTGTCTTGCTCTGTTAAATATCATTTGGGAAATATTTAAAAAGGAAAAAAAAAAATCAAAAGGGGGCTAATAATTCTGACTTCAACTGTATATTGACTTAAGGCTAATTCACATTACACTGACAGACCCATCGGTGACTGGTGGAGTCTGTTGGATCTTGATTTTGCCAGATAAAAAAAAAGTGGCAATTGTCTGAGAAATAGACGTCCTGTAATTTGGCGATTGTCTGCAATTGTCAATGTGTTGTGAATTGGGCTATAATTGTATGGGGATTTGTTTCCTCTTCAGAGCTTAAAACAATGTAATTGAGACTATTTCTCTTAATTGCAGAATGTCTGAAAACCTCTTTTCCTCTTTGACTCGAATGTGAATCGGGTATGAACATGTTTGGCATAACAGGAATGACCAGCCTCAAAACTGCCTTCTATGCTGCTGTTTTGAAACTTCCAAAAAGAAGCAAAATAGAGAAATGAAACTGTGTTATCAGCACAGGAAGTAAAACAAGGAGCATTTTCAATTTCAATTGCACACCAAAAATAAAAATAAAATTGAAGAAAATGGTCTAGACCAGGGTTGCCCAAACTTTTTCCTATAAAGGGCCAAACACCAAACTTGATTGAGGGCTTCGGGCCAAATATATACCAAACTGTATTACATTTAATTTGCCAAGAAGAATTTCCTCATTTATTCAGTAATATAAAACAAATATATAGAAAAAAAGTTTCTTTAAATCATGTTTAATATCTAATGCGCTATAACATTTCATAGTGAACTTACTACAGTAAAAACAATAGAGTTCAATGCTGAATACACTATAAGCTGCACCTACCTTTACCTTGATATGCTTGTAGATGTCAGATAACTGTACGTCAAGTGACTAATTACATTTTAAAACTCTGATTCATTTATTACATTTAATTGAATCATTTAAGTTCAATCACCTTTTTTGTAGCTTAGCAATAAAAAGTAACTAAAGATTGTTAAATCCAAAATTCTAATTTCAATTTCTCGCAAAGGCTTTACCCCCAAACACCAACATTCTTCCTCTTTTTTCAGATGGGATAGCGGGTCAATTTAATAGTTCCCGTGGGCCATCTTTGGTCTAGACCAATAATATCAGAAAAATACAATGATTTCACTTGACTAATACACATAAAAAAGATTAATTGCATTTACTAAATTGTCTTAGGGTACTGTCTTGGGTTAAATTTAAACAAACAAATTAAGTTGGACTTTAGTAAATTTAATTTATTTGTTTAAATTCAGCCAACATTTGTAATCGTTTGCAACCACTTACCTTAAACAGGGTTCATACGGTCATGGAAAACCTGGAAAAGTCATGGAATTTTGACATGGTATTGTCCAGGCCTTTGGAAAAACAGAAAAACCCCCAAAGTCATGGAAATTAGTGTAACAAATATATACTTGAATTAGGGCTGTGCAATATTGCAAATATCTGACATTACGGTGTTTTGTATTTCTGTGCTGTCTATTGCAATGTGAGTACAATTTCACTAGATAATTTAACAGGTTTATTTGGATTGATTGGGGGGATTTTGTAGGGGAATGAATCTCGAATAATATATAACAAATAAATTACAGGCATAGATTAATAAAATAAAGTAAAGATAAAAGTGAATTGTAGTTTTCAGGAATTCACTATTCAGGTACAGATATTGAATAATCAACACCGCATAGTCTTTATATTATTTATTCTTTATTAAAGTTACAAAACATTTCTGATGGCCGGATGTTTTAAAATTAGAAATATTGAAATGTTCACACAGTCACTGGCCTCAAAGGGACAGTTCACTCAAAGATTAAAATTTACTCTCACTATATTAATTTAATTATGTATTAAATTATAAATTAGAATCTCATAAATGTTTGAAACAAATGAAGAGTGTAATGAAAATGGTAAGTAATTTTGGGGTGAACTGTCTCTTTAAAAATGCATGCTGATGATAAACTTTTACTCCATTATGATTAAACTCTATAATTAACTATAATCTCAACATTGCATATGCTGCGATGTGACTATTGCGGATGCACACATTGTGATATCGATGCTGAAATTATATATTGTGCAGCCCTAACTTGAATATAGGTTAGTTGTCTTTACATATTTTTTTGTGTGTTCTCTGTTAGTGCTGTTTAAGCATTATCGAAATCAATTTCACATAGATCTAAAAACAAACTTAAATAAATTGTTGCGTGTTCTGTAATATGCTGTAATAAATTTAAACGTCATTGTTTTTCCTATTATTTACCATGTACAGTTGAAGTCAGAATTATTAGCCTGTCTTTGAATTTTCTTTTCTTTTTTGAATATTTCCCAAATGATGTTTAACAGAGCAAGGACATTTTCACAGTATGTCTGATCATATTTTGTCTTCTAGATAAAGTCTTATTTTTTTGTTTCGACAAGAATAAAAGCAGTTATTACTTTTTTTAAACACCATTTTAAGGACAAAATTATTAGCCCCTTTAAGCTATATTTTTTTCAATAGTCTACAGAACAAACCATCGTTATAGAATAGGTTGTTTAATTACCCTAACCTGCCTAGTTAACCCAAATAACCTAGTTAAGCCTTTAAATATCACTTTAAGCTGTATAGAATTGTCTTGAAGAATATCTAGTCAAATATTATTTACTGACATCATGACAAAGATCAAATAAATCAGTTATTAAAAACTATTATGTTTAGAAATGTGTTGAAGTAATCCTATCTCAGTTAAACAGAAATTAGGGAAAAATCAATTGGGAGCTAAAAATTCAGTGGGCTAATAATTCTGACTTCAACTGTTTATGTATACAATACATGAAACATTACGTCATGAAAATGTACTTGAAAGTTCTAGATAAGTCTTGGAAAAGTCATGGAATTTTAGTAGTAAAAATTTGTATGAACCCTGCTTAAAGAGATTAGTTTTCAGTGTAGGAAATCAATAATCTTAAGCTTCAGCAATATTATTTAAAAAAATGATATGAATCTTACTGTAACTTTTACCTTTACAATGTAAAAAGCTTTTTTTCTTTTAAAAAGTGAGTAAACTTGTTGCCTTAAAAGCAAAAAAAAATTACTTTACTAAAATAAATTGTAAATCCATTGTAACTGGGAACTGTTAAGATGACTTGATTTGCTTAAACAGAATTAATTAACCTGCACATAGATCAGAAATGTACATAATTTTAAGGCAAGGCATTAACTCACTTTTTTTAAGTACCCAACTTGTCATTCTCCTTCTCCTCCTTCTTCTTCTTGGTCTCTTTCTACTTGTAAAAACCCTGTAAGATCTGAAAGAGAGCACTAAAGTGGAGTGACTCCGTTAAATGTTGGTGTGAAGGTTGCTGTGTCGTGTTTCCAGGCATTCTGACGCTTTGCCTCACCAATCCAGTCTGGGTGACAAAGACCCGGCTGGTGCTGCAGTACAATGCAGACCCTTCACGGAAGCAGTACAAGGGAATGATGGACGCCCTCGTGAAAATATACCGTCACGAGGGTATCCCAGGACTATACAGGGTACATCTACAGATTTTAAACTAATCTGAGATCACTGTTACAGGTGGATTAGAGCGTTCATGTGTGCTAATCACAAGATTAAAGTCAACATGAAAGCAGAAATGATCTCTTTAATGTTATTAGGCCTTATTTTCATTTGGCATTAACATGCGGTTTTCGGTGATCTGATCACCAGTTGTGAGTAGAGATGAATAACTGTTTTCACTTGATTATAATATGCGTTTAAATGTGTTCTTATAATCATTTGACTTCCCCTGGGTGTAGGGCTGTTTGATTAATCGAAATCGAATCGCAATTTGGAGCGTTGCAATTGGTTAAACGCAAGAGGCTGCAATATAAAATATATGTATCTATGTAAACAAAAATAACGAATAACATCTTTAAAACTAGTCCGGTATGCTTCAAAAAATTAAACATCAAATCAAATTACTATAAATACATAAATGAGTTATCGCAGACAGGGAGTTGTCGTGAACTATGCCACGTTACACGAGAAGAAACGATTAAATCTTGTGTCATGCTGTCCATTTGTTGTTTACGACTCCCTACGACACCCTACGTCAAGAAAATTGTGCCAAATTCGTGTGATCTGACCAGGGCTTTATTACTAGCCAATTAAGCGAGCACACTTTCATTTTGTCCTATCAGAATTGCACAACTGAGCTACGCCCACGGTAAAAAAAGAAAACAAACAGGGAAGTGCTGACAAGTGGGATTATACTGTCTGCTGCTTCAGAAGCATTGATAGACAAATTAATATCAAAGAAAAATAGCATTTGTAATATAAGTATATTTTGGTTTCAAAGTCACAGACACCAAACACAAACAGGTCATTTTTAAGAGCTGTCGCAGAATTGTTGCCACTGCTTACAGATTATTGAGCTGAAGCTGAAACTAAATTAAAATCAGCTTGAAGTTTGAAATAAATCATAAATCAAATCGCAATATCTGTAAAAAAAAAAATCCTATAAGATATTTTCCCCACAGCGCACAGCCCTACCTGCAGGCCCTTGTATTTCTTCATGCTTAGTGTAATTAGTTGGTCAAAGTGGAGAAGCTTCAAACGTTGTAGACGAAATTCCTCTTGTGGAAAAAAGCACACTTTAGGGCAAGGGTCACCAATCCTGGTCCTGGAGGGCCGGTGACCCTGCAGTGTTTAGCTCCAACTTTCCTCAACACACCTGCCTGGGTGTTTCAAGTATACCTAAGACCTTGATTAGCTGGTTCAGGTGTGTTTGATTAGGGTTGGAGCTAAAATCTGCTGGACACCGGCCCTCCAAGAACAAGCTTGATGACCTCTGCTTTAGGGGCTCTATTTTGATGATCCATGCGCAAAGTTCAAAGCTCAGGGCACAAACTCTTAAGGGTTTCTCAGAATCCACTTTTTCTAATATAAGGACGGAAAAATCCGCTTTGCGCCGTTTCGCATGGTCTAAAAGGGTTGAGCTTATTTTCTTAATGAGTTATAGGTGTGTTTTGAGAATAAACCAATCAGAACCTCATCTCCCATTCCCTTTAAGAGCCAGCTGCGTCCCGCCCTTGCACGTTTGCTATTTACATAACGGACTTTGTAAGTGGAAAAACTGAACCCTAACTAGAGAAAAAACAGTTAAACAGAACATCTGCAGCACGAGAATGAGAGATGAACCTCATTATTTACTTTCACTTTCGCTCTCTTGGATAGGGAAACTTCTTGTACGCACAGACATCCATTAGCCTATAAATAATTAATTTTGTTTGTTAAGCGCAAAGATTTGTTTCAAAACTATTTCTAAATTCAGTTCTAATTTCCAGCAAACTAATAAATGAACAATAATAACGAAGTGTGGTCAAAAAAGTTATATCCTAATACACATGCTATGCCCTATATGGTCTGAAACCTGACAGGTGGGCAAATCTAAGCTTGTTTTGAATAAAACAAATATAAATATGCATATAATAAATAATACTGCTAATAATGATAACATTATACAAAAGCAAACCGTTATGAATAAACTGAAAAAGCCACTGTTTGCCTGTTTGTATTAAGCAATGTGTAACGGAGGCGCACAAGTAATGCGCTCTGCCCTGGACTTTAGACCAGCTTTGTTCTGGTCTATAGAACAGTCTATTAAAGTTTCTCAAAATAGCAACGTGCCATTAATGCGCCTCAACACGCCTCCTTTTTTAGATCAGAACGCCTATGGGCGCACATATGAGCAGAAATGCATTTGCAATTGAAACAGCATGGCGCAAAACGTCAAAACGACTCTTGTACCAGCAAAAAGCAATTGTGTCGCGCCTTGCACAACATTGCGCCGGGTGTATGATAGGGCCCTAGAAACAGTACCAGTTATGAAAATAATGTAACTTAAAAACATACTTAAGTATCAATGGAATATAAAATACATTAACTTTAAATGATAAATAGTTAAAATTATAAATCCTAAATAGAAATACATTCTATATGTATTAATATGTATACTTGAGTAAGCACATCAAAATGCAAGTACTTTAGGGTGTAAAATATTTGATCGGAATTATTACCAACTGTACTTTTTTTAAAGTGCACCTAAAGGCACAGTTCACCCAATAATTACAATTCTGCCATCATTTCTCATGCTCATTCTTCACAGATACCAAACATATTTGGATTTCTTTCTTCTGTTGAACACAAAGAAAGATATGTTGGAAAAAAAACTACCGTTGACTTAGTATTTTTAATATGGATTTCAAAGGCTGCTTTTCCCAAAAAATTTCAAAATATCTCTCATGGGAAAAAAGAAGTTCATAAAGGTTTAGAACTATGTGAGTGTGAATACACAATGAGGAAAGTTTCATTTGTGTATGAACTATGCTTTAAATTTGTTAAGATACTGCCACTCATTGCCATTTATTCTGCCATTCAATTTTCACAGTAAAAGTCACTTTTATTGAATTATTTCAATAATATTGTTTGTACTGTACTGTAAGGGGTAATTATATGTTTTTATTAGTAAAGATAAAAGGTTTTCTTTTTACTTTAAAATTATGCATCATTTTTTAAAAATAACTTAATTTTAATAGTTGAAGGACGCTGTATAGGCTAATTCAGTGCAATTAGGTGCATTCTTCAATATCTGTGTATGTTGCAAAGAAAGTTTGTCATTTGTAATGTTTGGCTGTGTTTGAAATTGCCCCTATATACCCTTATTCGATTATCTCTATATTAGGCCACTAATTTTGTTCAGTTGTAGAAGTAATTGTAAGCTAGTCAGATTCAATCCAAAAGGCTAAAATTGTTTGCAAAGTTTGTGCTTGCTGTTTTGATTTGAGACACACAGTGCTTTTAAAATGGCATGTTTCCATACTCGATAGAATGTGAAATCAATATATGAGCCGAATAGTTTGTCAGAATTCTTAGTATTCTAAAAACAGTAAGTACGTGAGATGACACCAATGCTCAACATTACATGTCTGACACTCACTTTTTGCACAGAAGCAAGTCTTCAAGTCTAAAAATTCCTCAGGTTTGTGGGTTTTTTTAAATATATTTTTTTGGTTTGACGTGCCATGTTAAAGCCTGGGCGACTAATGAGATTGGCACTTTTGTTCACGTGCCTTGAGCCGATTTGATACAAGGAATAAAACCTTATTAATAATCATTCCAGTGTGCACTAGCCTTTAAAGTGTATAGGAGGTGATTTTTGCACACAGCCTTTTAATAGCATTTTAATTACATGTTCTCATTCTTATTAGTTGTTCCTCACTACATACAGTGGACATATTCATTATGTCAGTCTGCACTATTTACCATCTGCTGTATGAACCTTATTAAATTATTTTGTCAATAATCAATATAAAGTGAAAACCTTGCACTCTGCGACACCTGAGTGAATGAAGTGTCCAACATTTCACACCCTTTTTTTCTTCATCAGGGTATTTAAAGTTGTAGTTCACTCAAAAATTATTATTAAAGAGAAGATATTTTGAAGAATGTTAGAAAATGGAAACCATTGACTTCCATAATTGTGTATTTTTTCGCTACTATGGATTGCAATGGCTACCTGTTTCCAACTTTCTTCGAAATATGTTCTTTTAAGTTTTGAAACCACTTGAGAATGTGTCAATGGTGTGTAAACTTTTAAAATTTTTGGGTGAACTTTCCCTTTTCAGTGTAAATGCTGCACTATTAACCCTAAAAATAAATAAACAAATATAAACAGCACAGAATAGCGGATACATTTATCTAATATCATGTTTTTTTTAATAGTTGAGCTTCATGTTGACTTTAAACAGCGGGGTGATTCCTCAGAACTCAATGAATGTAGTTCTTTGTAGCGCCACAAGAGGGTGTGATTGCACTATGTTTGGAAGATTACAACTTAATCTGTAGTTCACGTCTAGAGTAGGCTAAATTCTATGTCAGACGCACCAAATTACACTAAAGTGATCACATATTGTCGTAGACTTGATTTTGATTTAATTGTAGTCTATTTGAAGTCTGTGATGTTCCTCTGAGATCACGAGATAACTGTGATTGTGGCTTTGTGTGTTCGCGAGCCTCATTTTGCTGTTCTGCCACTGCAGGGTTTTGTGCCTGGGCTGGTCGGGACTTCCCATGCTGCACTGCAGTTCATGACCTATGAAGGGCTAAAAAGAGAGCAGAACAAATGCAAGAAGATGCCCTCTGAATCCCTGCTGGTGAGGAAATAAAACCACTATTATATCTTTAGCATACACTGTTTGGGGATGAACATATCTCATATGTTAAAGGGATAGTTCACCCAAAAATGTAAAGTGTGTCAACATTTACTCTGGCAAATGCAGTCACAGCTACTAGCATAGGTGTTTTATTTAAACAGAAGCACCTGTAAGAGCTGATTACATCACGTGACATGATTGGCAGTCTTAAAAAACAAAACAAAATAAATACAAATGAAATTGAGAGCATATACAGTACATAAACATTCAACATGCCTTCTTTTGCATTCAAAAGAAAAAAGAAGCTCATTAAAATTCAGAACAGCATGAGGTTGATTGAATGATGACCCATTATTCTCATTATTTTTTTTAGTAAGTTATGTGTAGTTATATAGTGCATATCGTGTATGGTTATACACTCAAAGCGCTTCACAATCATGAGGAGGGTTTCTCTACACCACCACCAGTGTGCAGCATCCACTTGGATGATGCAACGGCAGCCACAAGACAACAGAGCCAGTGCGCTCACCCCACACCAGCTAAAAGGGGAGTGGAGAGACAGTGATAGAGTCAATTCAGTGGATAGGGATGATTGGGAGGCCATGATGGTTGAGGGCCGATGGAGGAAATTTTGCTAGGTTGTTACACCCCTACACTTTATGAGAAATTACATTTTTAATGACCACAGAGAGTCAGGTCCTTAGTTTAATGTCTCATTCGAAAGATGGCACTCCTCTTCACTATACTGCTATAGGGCACACCGACCACAGGTTGAGCGCCACCTGCTGGCCTCTGCAACACCACTTCCAACAGCAATCTAGTTTTCCAATGTGGTCTCCCATCCAGGGACTGACCAGGCTCAGCCCTGCTTAGCTTCAGTGAGTAACTGGTCTTGGACTGCACAATGAGATATCTGTAACCTTTTTTTTTTTGGAGGGGAAGGTGGGAGAGGGGGTGTGAACTGTCCATTTCATGCCTCAAAAGTACAATCAAATAGAAATATAACACTTTTTTTCTTAACTTAAATCTTTGATTTTGCAGCATATTTTTTCCCCCAGTAAATAGTTTTTGACTTTTGACTGGAAAATTTAATTTGAAGTGTTCAATTTGCATCCATTTTTGACCATTATATAGGAACATTGCATTTTATAAAGATTGAAAAAGCAAGTAATGGTTAATTAAGTATTTTAGAATTAATTAAAACTAGAAGCATTTACACTTCCAGCCAAAAATGTTGAATAATTAGGATTTAATTTATTTAGTTTTTGACGGAAGCATCTTCTGCTAGCTGATTTATTGATTTATTTGATAATGCAGCAAATGCTGAAATATTGTGATGTTATTAATGTAAATTATCTGTCTTCTTTATGATATTATTTGATAATAATGTGATAATATTCATATTTTGAATGTATATTAAATTTAAATGTTTTTCTTTGATTTCAAAGCTGAATTTCCAGCATTATTTTCTACATTATTGTCTTTAGTGACACGTGATCCATTAGAAATGTTTCTAATATACAAATTTAATCAGCATTAAAACTACTTGTATTGTCATTTATTTTAAGTTTGTTGAAACAAATGGCACAACTACACAAGTAAATAGAAAGTGAACAATTAAAATGTTACATTATAAATTTCAAATAAATGCTGTTCTTTTGAAAGTTTGTCACAATTCTGACACTGAAAATATAATAAGAAGTCCAATAATTAATCAAATTAAAAGATTTTTTAGGAAATTAGGAGACTGAAAGATCATGTAACATTGTCTGGAGTAATAATCACAGGAATACAGTACATTTTATGGTATACTTAAGTAAAAACTCAGTTGAAAATATTTTAATCTTCACAATATTTTACTTTTACTGTTATTATTATTATTATTATTATTTAATAATTATTTATTATTATTAACTTTTAATTTACCAGGAAAAGTAAATTGAGATTTAAAATCTCCTTTACAAGAGTAGGGTCCTGGCTAAGAAAAGGCAGTATAAAGTTCACATGGGTTTAACAAACAAACAAACAAGCAAACAAAAAAACAGGAAACATCATTCATTTATCAAAACAGACATATGATGATGGTTTAAAAACTATTTAGAACATCTACAGGCCAATGTTTCAAACTCCAAATCATTTTACAAACTTTTTAAAAGCATGTAGTAAAACCAACTCTTTAAACTGCAACTTTGTTTGGAGGTTATTCCATGCAAAAGGTGCTTCATATTTAAAAGCCTTTTTTCCCATTTCAGTACACACCACTGGTACAGGCAATAAATATATTTTCTGAGACCTTTAAGGCTATAGAGACAGCTTTTTTTTTTTTTTTTTTTTACTAATGTAGACTTGTAGATATGAGAGGAGTAAAACCTAAAATTGATTTATAAACAAAGATATGCCAATGCTTGAGCCCACACGTGGACAAAGCAGAACATCCTACCCCAGTGTACAGCACACAATGATGAGTGAGGGGTTTAAGATTATAAACCTCAGTGCACCATGGTAAACAGTGTCTAAAGCATGAAAACTCTGAAAAGATGCAGGTGTATAAATAACATCACCATTGTCTAATTCGGACATAAAAGTTGCAGAAACAAGCTTCTCTGTGTTTAATGAAATCATTTGAGCCTAAGTTAGCATGAGAGGCATTCTGAAACATGAGGGGAAAAGATGCAAATGTTTGACTGGTAATGTACAGTTTATTCACTAAAGACAATTGTATACCCATTTTTCCTTTGATTCCACACAAGGAAATCTTTTACATTGCTAATAGACTGTATAATACAAGAGATGCAATAAAATGACCTGAACTTATCAGTAGTCAGTATATGGCAACCTTTAGAAAAAAGAGGTTTATGCAGAGGTTTATTCTTTTGTCATGGTTGTGAGTCAGTTTTTCCTTTATGTCTGTCTGTGCTTCAGTCCCCATTGGAATACATCGCCATAGCAGCCATATCCAAAATATTCGCTGTAGCAGTAACATACCCCTATCAGGTGGTCCGCGCTCGCCTGCAGGACCAGCACAACAACTACAGTGGAATAGTGGATGTCATGAGAAGGACCTGGAGGTATGAAGTTACATATCACATTGTGTCTCTATCACAAAGCAATAAAGATAACCTTTAAGAAACAATTTTAGTCCATCTCAAAGAAACTTACTAAAACATAAAGTTTAAAGTAAAAACAATAAATAAATTCTTCAATTGATTTTCTGTTTATTTTATTTAGTTTTATTGAGAATGCATTATTTAATGCTGCATGATTTTTATAAAACTATATTTGGAATGATATCACTGAAAGTAAAAAATGATGATTATTTATAATATTTGTTGTTGTTATTTTTATTGTAAATATGGACACAACTATTCAAACTATAGCTTTGATAACTTTTTTTTATGTTTTTGAAATAAATCTGTACTTTCCTGGCCTGTATATATTTGATAAAAACAAAGTAAACAGTAATATTGTGAATAAAAAAATTATTTAAAAAAAACTTTTAATTGATGATAAGATGAAATTAATGATACGATATTAATTCAAATATTTTATACATACATCACTCATGTTTACATTTTTTAAAGTAATGCCCAAACCTTTTGTACCTGTTGTCTGTGCTCAATTAATATGGCTTTGAGTATTAACAATGCATATGACTTGAATATCCATCATTAAATAATAACGATGAAGAACCATAACTCATGATATAAAGATCTTACAAAATCTATTGTGAAATACATGTGCAATTGTATTGTGGAATGCATATTTTTATTTGTGTAAAGAGACGTATGATTCAAAAGGAAAATTGTTGCATATTAAAATTTTTGTCAGACACGCATCTGTTTGCCACAAATATAATGCAAAAGTGAGAATCTGAGCATCCAAAGAAACAGAATTAATCAACGTATATAAAATTGTTATGTGAATTGTTATGTTTTAATGTAATACAATGGGGCTATATAAAACAAAAGGCCCAAATTTGTTATTAATTTTTATTTTGCGCAGGAAAACACCCATCTAACCATAATAGTAGTTAGTGGTTTTATGCAGAAAAACACCCATAAACCATAATAATGATGTCAGTATAATGGAATTTCTAACATTAGTTTTCGGATACATTAAATATCAATATTTGATACAATTTTTAATCTCACAGCGGAAATATTGCTTGTATAAATATTGTGATATCATGTCTGTTATAATTTTCTTTTTTTATCTGTTTATTAAACTTAAAAAAGAAGAATTGTTTTAGAGGACTACTTTCACTTTTGCTCTTGTAGATAAGAAAACCTTGTTGGCACAGACATCCATTAGCCTATAAATAATCATTTTCGTTTGTTAAGCGCAAAGATTTGTTACGAAACTATTTCTAAATTCAGTTCTAATTTCCAGCAAACAAACAAATGAACAATAATGGTCAAAAAAACTGAGTTATATCCTAATACACATGCTATGCCTCTTATGGTCTAAAACCTGACAGGTGGGCAAATCTAAGCTTGTTTTTAAAAAAACAAATATAAATATGGATATAATAAATAATACTGCTAATAAAAATAACATTATACAAAAGCAAATTGTTACGAATAAACTGAAAAAAAAAACCAGAGATGAAGAAGGCATGAAAGTATGGTTTTTATATTTATGTAGGCTATAAATAATATGTTTTGTAATAGTTTAAGCCTTTATTTATATCATATATATAACCTTATTATATCCTATATATATCCTTTTAATTTTTTTTCTTATATAAAGATATTTGTGTATTGCTCTACATCTTGTGTGTATTAAGCAGTAAGCAAAGCGCATAACTAATGTGCTCTGCGCTGGACAATAGACCAGCTTTGTTTTGGTATATTGAAAAATCAACTATAGTTTCTTAAAATAGCAACGCGCCAACAATACACCTCAACACACCTGCCTTATTAGACCAGAACGTCTATGGGCGCACATAAGAGCGCAAATGCATTTGCTATTTAAACAGCGTGGCACAAAACATCAAAACGACTCTTCTGCCAAGCTTAAACTAGTAAACAACAATTGCGTCGCGCCTTGTGCCACATTGCGCCAGGTGTATGATAGGGCCCAATGGGACCACGCATAAATAATAAATTACATGAAATTAACCCAAAAATAAATGAAATACATTTAGCAAATTATAGTTTTGAGGCCAGGCATGATCAGACTGTCTATACCAGATGTTGAATTGGACATTCTAGGTTGACACATTTATATTTACTGAATAACGAATAACCACCTATATGTAATTACTGCCAGGCTGCTCTTACCATAAAACATATTCTGTTGGAATGTAAAAGTTTAAAATCCAACGGACAAAAAATTTTATAAGGAGAGTACTTTGATAAACATTTTTTAAAAAGGTACCACCGGGAAGAGTTTTAAATTATTTATCAAGAATTGAACTAAAATATCATATTTAAATATGAATACTTTTTTGTGTGAATTTTTCCGTTTACATTTTATATATTTGTCTTCATTTAAGTATTTTTTTCTTGTTATTAGAATTTGTTTTTATCATGTAATATTTTATGTATATTCGTTTCGCCACAAAATAGCCATAAGCTGCTGATGTGGCAATAAATAATTAATAAAAAAAATTTAAATGAGTTATTAAAATTATTATGTTTAAAAATGTGTTGAAAAAAATCTTCTCTCTATTAAACAGAAATTGGGGAAAAAATAAACAGGGGGCTAATAATTCTGACTTCAACTGTACATCATTTAATTCACTTTGCAATTGAAAAACCTTAAAGCTTAGATTGACAGTGTGCAGAAGTTCTCACATGCTCAGAAATGAAAAGCTCTAAGTGCATCCCATGTTTCAGAGAAAGTAAGAAAGTCGACTTTCATTCTAAACCCCTTTTGTAATAGTTTTTTTTAAATATATTTCAGTATAGATACAATTCTAAAACTATCAACAATAATTACATTTTATTCTCTTTTTATTTCATTTTTTAAAAATATCCCATTATTTACCTTATAGCTTTGGAAAAAAAATGTGTATAAAGAAGCTTCCAGTAAAGTCGTGACTCATCTGACTTGACATCAGCTCAATATGTTTGTGTTTGACTCTCTCTAGCAACGAAGGGGTGGAGGGCTTTTACAAAGGGATGGTGCCAAACCTGGTCCGAGTCATTCCTGCGTGCTGCATCACCTTCCTGGTGTTCGAAAATGTGTCACGCTTGCTTTTGGGCGAGTATCACTAAACCTTTGGGAATCAAAAGTGGGACCAACACAAGGCAATGTGCCGGGACTATGTATGTACGTATGTGTGTGTTTGTGTATTAGAAGGAGGAGCAGGAATATCAAACATTTCCTGTTTAACTCTGAACTCAACGGGCAGACAAAAACTAGAATTTAGCGTATGCCCCGAATAAAAAGAAGTGGTGCATATATTTGAGATTTAAAGGGATAGTTCACCCAAAAATGAAAATTCTGTCATCATTTAATCACTCTTTACTTGGTTCAAACCTGTTTGAGTTTCTTTCGTAAATTAAACACAAAGAGGTTGTTCTGAAGAAAGCTGGAAACCCGTAAACATTGATTTCTGTATTAGTTTTTTCCTACTATGTATGTTTATGGTTACAAATGTTGACTTTCTTCAAAATATCTTCTTTAATAAACAGAAGCAAGAAGTTTATAAAGGTTTATAACCACTTTAGGGTGAGTAAATTTTCATATTGCGTGAATCTCCCTTTAAGAGTAGTTGTACCTAAGTTAAAGGGATAGTTCACCCAAAAATGAAAATTCTGTCATTATTTACTCACTCTTTACTTGTTTCAAAAATGATGATGTTCTGAAGAAAGCTAAAACACTGTAACCATTGATTTCTCTATTAGTTTTTTTACTATGTATGTCTATGGTTGCAAATGTTGGCTTTTTAAAAATATCTTCTTTGATAAACAGAAAAAAATAAATTTATAAAGGTTTATAACCACTTTAGAGTGCAGTAAATTTTCATTTTGAGTGAACGATGCCTTTAAGAGTTGTTGTACTATTGAGTTAAAGGGATAGTTCACCCAAAACATGAAAATCCTGTCATCATTTAATCACTCTTTACTTGTTTCAAACCTGTTTGAGTTTCTTCTTAAATTAAACACGAACACGATATTCTGCAGAAAGCTGGAAACCTGTAATCATTGATTTCTGTATTTGTTTTTTTGTTTGTTTGTTTTTTTGTATGTTTATGGTTACAAATGTTGGCTTTCTTGAAAATATCTTCTTTAACAGACATAAGAAAGAAGTTTATAAGATTTATAACCACTTTAGGTTGAGTAAATTTTCATTTTGCGTGAACTATCCCTTTAAGAATTGTTGTACTGTAGTTAAAGGAATAGTTCACCCAAAAATGAAAATTCTGTCATCATTTACTCACTCTTTACTTGTTTTAAACCAGTTTGAGTTTCTTTCTTAAATTAAACACAGAGGTTGTTCTGAAGAAAGCTGGAAACCTGTATTTATTGATTTCTGTATTAGTTTGTTTTACTATGTATGTCTATGCTTACAAATGTTGGCTTTCTTCAAAATATCTTCTTTAATAAACAGAAGAAAGAAATTCATAAAGGTTTTTAACCACTTGAGGGTGAGTAAAGTTTCATTTTGCGTGAACTGTCCCTTTAAGAGTTGTTGTATTGTTGATTTAAAGGGATAGTTCACCCAAAATGAAAATTCTGTCATCGTTTACTCACTCTTTACTTGTTTTAAACCAGTTTGAGTTTCTTTTTAAAATAAAACACAAAGACGATGCTTTTAAGAAAGCTGTAAACCTGTAAACATTAATTTCCGCATTAGTTTTTCTACTATGTATATCTATGCTTCCAAATGTTGGCTTTCTTCATAATATCTTCTTTAATAAACAAAAGAAAGAAATTCATAAAGGTTTATAACCACTTGAGGATGAGTACATTTTCATTTTGCACAAACTATTCCTTTAAGAGTTATTGTATTGTTAAGTTAGAGGGATAGTTCACCCAAAAATGAAAATTTACTCACTGTAAACTTAAAGAGTTTTATTTTTCAGAAGATATTTTGAGAACTGGAAACCATTGACATCCATAGTAAGAAAGAAATCAATAATGGAAGTCAATTAAACCTTATTCTAAAGAAAGCTCAAAACAGTTTTGAAACAAGTAGATCAAGTATGACTGAATAAATGTATCTCTTTATGAAAAACGTCTTGATTTTATCTTAGAGATTTATGAATAATCACCTATGAAGAAGATTTAAGTTGATTTTAAACAGTGAATGACACGTGGATTGAAGCCATCTCATGACAATGCAACCAAACACAGTATTCGCCAAACATGTGTTCATCTTTTTTTACGGAATTTTCACAAAACAGCTGCTATATTTGCTGAGCTATGCGAGAGAATGAACGGGATTTCCTTCACCCACTAAGCAAACCTCCGCTGGCTGTTGTGCCGGGGTCAACGAAAAACCTCACTAGGCTGCTCAGGAAATGATGTAACGCTATGGGATAATGGCACACAGGCCTGAGAGAAACTGATACTGCAGAGCAGAAGCATATTTTAACCAGATGTGTAGAGATGCCATCTACTGGAAGAGAGGAACAGGAAAGACGAATATGAAAGAAGTAGCAACTGAAAGGCAATTGTGTATGTATATATAAATGTGCTGTTGTATAAGCCATTTTTACACATCTAATAAAGAATTATATGTTACAGACAGAAGAGCCTTGAGTTATTGTGCAAAACTGTTCATGACGATGTCTTGGATACCAAATTAAACATACTTTTAAAAACCACCAGAACTATTCCCTTGAGAAAAGGAAGTGTGCATGGTATATAATATTAAAGGGGTGGTCCCGAGTGTATTTTTAAGGCTTGGTTATGTTTATAAGATGTAAAGCAATGTGTGCTTATACTTCATTTGTAAAAACAATCACGTTATTTGTTCATATATCTTACTTTGATTATATACTGCTACACAGCTAACAAGAAAACGACATGAATATTTCCTAGTTTCTCTGAAAGACCCGCCTTCAAGAAGCTCTGATTGGTCAGCTAACATAATGTGCTGTGATTTGTGGATTAGCTTAACGTCACCAGGAAAAGCATCACACCCCTACAAGCACACGATTTTACGTTGTGTAAACACTGTCAGTCAGAGTAGCTGTTAGCCGTATTATTTTGTGCTTGAATCAAACAGAAAATGAAGAGGACACAGCTGAACATTACGCCTGCTCTCTAAAATAAAATCTGACAAGTGTCTTTCACATATATTTGGGATATAAGCATGTTTAAGTAATATGAAACGTTCACATCTTTTTGTTATTTGAGATGTATAACGCAGGGAAATGGCCGCATAGAGAGACACTGCAGTGCTGGTAAAGATTGTGGGTGTTTACAGTAGTTTAATGGATAAGTATTAATTTGTAGCTAAATTGTTAGCGGTGCCAAACAGCATTTCCATGTTACATCTTCGTTTACGTTCTTGCTACAACATACTGTTAATGCTAGTCTCTGTGCATGTCATAGATTAATTTTAACAATTAAAATATTCACAGGATGTGGTTCACAATCCACCGCTTCTTCTATTGGTTGGACCTGCTCCTTCTTTAATGAGTTTTTAGCCGAATCAGCTGAACTGGGAGAGATTCTGGAAGCTGTCCTTTGTCAAATGCTAGCTATATCTTTTTTTTTATAATTCTTTGGAACATAATAAAATTAAATTGTAAGCACATCCGTCTTTGTGTCGAGTCCTTTAGAAGCCCAGAAACAGAAGAAGCTCTGAGGAAATTGCAGCATTTTGGCTTTCTCTGCTATAACAATACAGCACCTCTGGCCACGGCCCTTCGCTGCATGTGGTAAATGTGCGTAACCTGAAGCGTTTATGATCTTTGAATCTTTGATGTAGGCTTTGCTAAACTAACTTTGTAAAAGCCAATGTCTCCCTTTGCATTAAACTTTCAGCATCTTGCATTCAAAGATGTTGTTTGTTCACACAGTTACACATGAACTAATGTTTGAAATTATGATATCATAGTGGACCACCCCTTTAAGGAAAAGCCTAATAATTGATAACAATTCAAGTGTATATTTTGTGCAAACAAAGATGGGTATGACATAGGTGTTACATTGCTAATGTGGTTTATGAAGAAATGCCTTGTGTCCTTGCAAAGCAAAATGCTTAAAAATCATGCTTAACAGGATATTTTTGACATTCAAAAATCCCCACAAGTTTGTTCTTGCAGAATATTGGCCAGGTCACCTTGTAATGCTGGTGGAATAAAACATTTTCTGACTCGCTTCTCCAAAACACCAACAGTGGCTTAAAAATATAGTGGTGACTTTGCAGGCCATGAGAGATGTTCAACTCCACTTTCATGTTCATCAAACCACTCTCTCACCAGTCTTGCTTTGTGTATTGGTGCATTATAATCCTGATACACAGCACTGTCTTCAGGATACGATGTTTGAACCATTGGGTGTATACAAATAAAATCTTCTATGTTCAGACATTAATTTTTATTCCAAAAGTAATTGTTTTGAGTAATGTTTTTTTTTTCATATCGATTTGCACAATATTTTTTCATTCCTTCATTCATATTCTTTTCGGCTTAGTCCCTTTATTAATATGGGGTCACCACAGCAGAATAAACCGCCAACTTATCCAGCACATGTTTTATGCAGCGGATGCCCTTTCAGTCACATCCGAACACTGGGAAACATCCATACAATCTTGCATTCACACATATACACTACGGCTAATTTTAGCTTACCCAATTCCCCAACAGCACATGTATTTCTTAATAACCAGAGGAAACTTACGTGAACAAGGAAACATCCAAACTTCAAACAAAAAAAAAAAAGTCAACTGAACCAGCCGGGACTTGAACCAGCGACCTTCTTGCTGTAAGGTGATTGTGCCACCCACTGCGCCACCATGACATCCCACAATCTTTTTGCTCTACACTCCCAGAAATAAAGGTATGCGAGCTGTCACTGGGGTGGTACCTTTTTTAAAAGGTACAAATTTTTACCATATAAATTTTCCATATTAATACTTCAAGGGTACATATTAGTACCTAAAAAGTCCAAAAGTGTTCCTCTTAAATTTTTTAGGTAGTAATATATACTTTTGGAGTACCCTTTGAATACAAATGTGTACCTTTTAAAAAGGGACCACCCCTACTTTTATTTCTGAGAGTGTAAAAGAAATGAATGGTTTTTGGAAAAAGTAAAAAAAAAACAAGAGAGATGTTATAAATTCAAATGGATTAGCCAATAATCTGGCAAACAAAAAAAAAAAAAATAGTTACAAACGTCTGTCCACATTAATGTGTTTATATTTTAGTTTTTTTTATCAAATAGCCACTATTATGTTTAACAGGGCAAGGACACTTTCTTTGTATGTCTGATATTATATATTTGTTTTTTTCTGGAGAAAGTCTTATTTGTTTTATTTCATCTAGAACAGGGGTCAGCAACCCGCGGCTCTAGAGCCGCATGCGGCTCTTTAGCGCTGCCCTTGTGGCTCCCTGGAGCTTTTTCAAAAATGTTTGAAAATGGAAAAAGATGGGGGAGTTTAATATATTTTTTTCAATTTTAATATGATTTCTATAGGAGGACAAACATTTTTAACGATTTTTTAAATGCTGTAAAAGTGTGTAGAATTAATATTTGATTTCAACATTTCTGTCAAAAACAAAATCAAGATAATACAAAAAATTAAAGATATACTTCTCTCCGCAAAGACAGTGAAGGAAAGGGCTATTAAAATGGCAGGTAACATCACCGATCAACAAACCAAGGACATTAATTCAGTGCCAGCATACTAAATTGCCTGTGATGTGACCGATATTCAAAGCGCTTTTATGCAGGTTTGTGAACTCTGATGGGCCGCAAGAAGAAATGATCAAATTAATACCACTGAAAGGAGGCTGTGCTGAAGTGTTTAAATGACAGCGAAATAAACACCAACCACCTTATTTCAGTGGCTATTTAATCATGAAGGCTCATTATGTATTTATAGCCAACTTACAAATTTTTTTTAGTAGGCTAATATAGATAAATACAGCATGCGTTTTCTTCATTATAAGGCTTATATAAGGCTTTACATTTTTTGCGGCTCCAGACATATTTGTTTTTTGTTTTTTTTTGGTCCAATATGGCTCTTTCAACATGTTGGGTTGCCGACCCCTGATCTAGAATAAAAGCAGTTATTCATTTTTTAAACACCATTTTAAGGACAAAATTATTAGCCCCTTTAAGCTATATGTTTTTTCACTAGTCAACAAAACAAACCATCGCTATACAATAACTTGCCTAAGTACCCTAACCTGCCTAGTTAACCTAATTAAGCCTTTAAATGTCACTACATGCTGCTTAGAAGTGTCTTGAAAAAACATAGTCAAATATTAATTACTGTCATCATGGCAAGGGTAAAAGAAATCAGTTATTAGAGATGAGTTATTGAAACTATTATGTTTTGAAATGTGTTGAAAAATCGCTCTGTTAAACAGAAATTGGTGAAAAAAATTAACTGAGGTCTAATAATTCAGAGAGGCTAATAATTCTGACTTTAACTGTATATATCCTCTGGCTGCAACCCCCCTGAGCATTCAGGCTGGCTTTAGGGTGGCTGGGATTCAACCTTCCAACAAAAATGTATTTCTGGAAATCTAGTTTGCACCTTCCTGCGTCACCAATCACCCTATTCAGAACCCTGCCCTGCCAGGTCCCAGCACCAACTCCACCCTGCTTGGCCCCAGCACCAACTCTGCCCTTAATCAGACACAGGGCATCCATTTGTTCAAAGGTTAAACGGATCTTATGTTATCTGCTGCATTCCATTCAGTTATCATGGATCTCTGCGCAAGCCAGAGAACATTTTGAGTTTAAATTTCAAAGTAAAGTTGTCTTGCCAGTTAATACGTTTTGATTTAAATGTATATTGATTTAAATAATTTTTTTTCCAAATCCCCTAGGCATGATTGTTTATATTTGAAGTTTTGTTTTGAATTGATCAATTATAATCAATAATCACAATGAAGTAGTTGTGTTCTTATTTTCAGATAATCTAATGTGACAACTTACCTGCAGATGGGGAAAATTGTCACGAGTGCACACTCCATTTAACAGTCCACTGCTCCTAAATGAGATAAGATATCCAATAAGGTTTCTAAGACTTCCTTCGTTCATTCGGTATGTCATTTGTTACATTGTGATGTATGGTGCTCAGTAAAAATTTGAAAGTATAAAAGTGTGGCAGCTTACCCCGCTTTCCTATACTGGTGAATTTATTGATAACAAGTTTCTATATTTTGAATTTTTAAAAAATAAAACTTACCATTTTTTTAAACTCTACAATTCTATTTTTTTTCCATTTTTTTTGTAATTAATTTCATGATTTATTACTTTGTTTACAACTTGAGATCAGTAAATAAAATTCCCTTATTAAAGTCAGAATTATTAGTCCCCTTCAAAAAAAATTCTTCTATTTTAAATATTTTCCAAATGATGTTTAACAGAGCAAGGAAATTTTTACAGTATGTCTGATAATATATTTTTTCTTCTGGAGAAAAGTCTCATTTGTTTTCTTTCGGCTAGAATAAAAGCAGTTTTTAATTTTTTAAACACCATTTTAGGGACAAAGTTATAAGCCCTTTTAAGCTATTTTTTTTCTTGATAGTCTACAGAACAAACTATTGCTATACAATAACTTGCCTAATTACCCTAACCTGCCTAGTTAACCTAATTAACCTAGTTAAGCCTTTAAATGTCACTTTAAGCTGTATAGAAGTGTCTTGAAAAATATCTAGTCAAATATTATTTACTGTCATCATGGCACAGATAAAATAAATCAGTTATTAGAAATGAGTTATTAAAACTATTATGTTTAGAAATGTGTTGAAAAAATCTGCTCACTGTTAAACAGAAATTGGGAAAAAATTAAACAAGCAGTCTAATAATTCAAGGGGGCTGATAATTCTGACTTCAACTGTATATATTCCTTATATAAAAAAGTGGATGGAATTTTGCAACATTGGTTTTGAAACCCAGTCCTTTATCAATTTGCAAAGGCCATTTATTGTCTACAGCTCATAATTGTAAATTTTATGTTGTATTCTTTCTGATTATATTCATACATTTTTGGTACATCTGTGCTTGTTTTATGATTGCACAGTTTTGTTGCGGAATAAAAGAGAACTAAACCATTTCTAGATGTATGAATGCTTTAATGGCTCAGTATTTCTTAACCTGTACTGTAATCGGATTGCACTTTATATTGAATACTCAACAGCTGCAAAAGTACTTTAGTACCACATCAGACATTCCAGACCTTAGTCATGCTGCTCATTCAGCTCACTGTTTTCCATCTACACCCAATTTTATGGTGTACTTTTCACTTTTCTGTCAGCGTTTTAAGTTAATTAACAACCAGTTTTATTATCACAACGCAGCCTATAATACGTATAAAAGTGTTTATTTTTTTTCTAAACATTTTAGAAGTCGAACAATAAAAGCTTCACTAGACACATGGATTTAATCAAGTATGAAAAATGAGGCGTAATGGGTGAATCTCCTAAATAAATTTAAATAACATAAAAGTTAATTTGGAGTTTAAACAAAAAACATTTCATGACTCTCACTTCTTCTGTTCATCATGTATACTAATGATTGTTGGAGTATTTACTGGAACTGTCATATTGTATGCTGATGATTCAGTGATTGTGAGTCTCCTCCACGATCAGGATTTGCGCCATGATCCTGTTGTGGAAGAATTTGTTTTCTGGTGTGATGCATTTTCTCTCCAGTTGAATGCAAATAAAAAGAAAAGATATTGTGATAGATTACAGGGTAACCAAAGGTTTGGACGTTGAAATTCTTAACATAAATATCTAGGAGTTGTTATTAACAATATGTTGACATTTCAACCTAATGCTCAGTTCTGCTTCCCAAAACCATCGTTTGCCAGCTAAATTCTGTTGTTACAAACATAGTTTGTTGATTGCTGTTTCCCAAATCCGTCACTCCAACGAACATTCGCAAACTGCGTCGCAAACTTGAGCACTCGCAACTTCATCTCTGGAGCTGTAGTTAGAAACATAGTTCCTGACTGTGTTTTATTCCCACTTATCCCGCCTATGCCCTGTTCATTTAGAACATTCTAACATTCAAAGTTGGAATTATTAAAAATAAATAATAATCAAGACAATCTCTCATAGGAGTAATTTGCTTTCAAACTATTTTAACAGTTCAGTTTTAGCGATCTTCATGTTTACATTTGTGCGCCCTTCGCAGTGCACTTTGAAAATATCGATGTCATTTTGAACACAGCCTCATGGCGAAAGCTGTAGGTGACCTATTATTAAAAAGCGGATTTCATGTTACGTCTCCAAAGCTTGTGAAAACAAAAGCATGCGTTAATTCTTTTAATTCATAGTGGGATGTTTATTAAGTATCTGTACTGTATATGACATTGGCCTGCTGGTTACTTCTGCTGTGGTTTACAAGTGTCAAATTGTAAAAGTAGACTTTTCTAAAAAATAAAAAAATAAATAAACAATATCTTACTTAATAATAGTAATCATTTTTAATATTATTATTAAAGTATGATTTTTTTATTTCTAATACATAATAAATATTAAATTTCATTTTATAATAAATCGCCTGATTATTTATTTATATGATTCATATATATTAGAATATGTGTTAGCTTTTGTAAGTGATTTTATGTTTTAGAATAGGATATGTCATATTCTCAATAATATTTGTAAAGGAAACAGAGGCCCTAAATGTTCCATTTACATATATGTCAGTTAATATTAAAAGCGAGTGCATGTTTTTACCATACTATTATTGTATTTTATTTTAAATGCATGTTGTGTAAAGCAATATAATTTGCACAAAGAAATGATGGGGTTCTTCTCTAAAGAAGCAGTTACTCCGCCCTGTTTAGAGCGTCATTATGGGCATTTTACGTTATAACTAACATGGTTCAAGCGATGAATCTGCAACAGAGAAACTATGCGTTTTGGGAAACACTCGTCACTACATCGTTCTTTTCCCAAACGATGCATCGTACTATGAAAGTTCAGCCGTGACTTATGTCGTTGTTTGGGAAATGCACCCCAGGCTGTCTATAAAAAGGCTGTTTTCTAAGGAAACTTAGATCGTATCGAGTTTGTACCTCTATGATGACACTGTTTTATAAACAATTTATTGAATCCGTTTTATCATTTTGCATTGTAGCTTATGTGGTAATCTGAGTTCGTCATATAGGAACAAATTGAGTAGAATCGTGAAGGTGGCAGGCAAGATTATTGGTTTTAACCAAATTGGTCCAATGGTAATTTACCATGATTGTTTTAAACAGAGCTCAGGCTGTCCTATGCACCCCGGTTCACCCATTGTACTCTGCGATCCATTAGGAAATTGTTTTAGTGTTACTATTTGCAGGACAAATAGAATTAGAAATTCTTTTATAATGGTGGCCATTAGGTCATTAAAAGCAGCGTGGATGGAGATTCACCTAAAAATTTATGTTTGTTGTGTGGTAATATTTTGTTAATGAGTACATGGAACTTCACCTGTGTTATGTCACCTTGCTGCCGTTTCCCTAAACGGGATAATAAAGTTGGGTCTGAGTCTTAAATTGTTATAAAAATTCAGTCAATAAGATTTTTATTTTACATTACATTCTGAATGCTTTCACAGTACTTTTTTTACATTGAATAAATAAATAAAAATATTGTTGCCTTAAAGTTTAGGTTCAAACAAATTAACCTTACAAGTCATTTTACCTTATACATCTGTTAATTGACTTAATAATATATCACATTATCACCTGATTAACCTATTTAAACTATCTTTTGATCACTTTTTGAGTGTACGTACACTGTAAAACCCAGTAAGTTAACTCATACCATTGGAGGAAACCTATTGCAACAAACTGTTCAAAATTTAATCCTAATGAGTACTGAATCCTAATGAGTCCATTTGAGTACACTAAACAGTTTGAGCACAGAAAAACCCAATAAATTAAGATCTTTTTAACGAACTGAGTACTGTAAAACCCAATAAGTTAAGGCAACTCAAATCGAGTTCAAAAACTAATCTATATGAGTACCGTGAACTTACTCCATTGAAGTTGAAGTAATGAGATAGTAGCAGGTGTAAATTATTAATGCTCACTCAACACGTCCTTAATCACTTCTTTACTCAATAAGTGCGTCCCAAATCACGTATTTATGCACTATTCTATGCCATTTTGCAGTATAAATAGTGTATATTTCCCAGAGATGGGTTGCGGCTGGAAGGGCATCCGCTGCATAAAAACTTGCTGGATAAGTTGGCGGTTCATTCCGCTGTGGCGACCCCGGATTAATAAAGGGACTAAGCCGACAAGAAAATGAATGAATGAATGAATGAAATAGTGTATATGTAGTGCATTCACACTGAAAACTCTAAAAATAATCAACCGGTAAAATGAAGTGTGGAATGATGGGCTGTGAATTCATAGAAGTCCAAAATCAGTATGCGAGAAGTTCCAGGATGACTTACTATTTCCGGCGAGATTCTGAAGTGCGCATCCCATGCACGCTGTGCTATCCCTTGATGCCCCGCGAGAGAATTCATGAATGGGAGCAAAGAGCATAGAATCACCAAGAGGCAACACTCTAGTGTGATTTGGTAAACATCGACTAGATGGCATGGCGGCCATTTTGGAATTTAAATACCAATAGAACAGCATCATATTATAAGTCTGTAAAATAAACTATTAAAAGTGCTTATGAGTGATAGTAAGTGCTGTATTGTTCTCTTTCAGGTTGTATCTCAGCTTTAATGCGCTTTTTAAATAAATAAATAAAAAACAAAGTAGCTGCTTGCCATCGCGACGGTAATAAGATCCAATGGACGGCCAATCGCTTTCACTCCAAAATGGTGGAATCGACGGACTGTTGCTGGGCGCTGCTTTTGCAATGGAACATTCTATTAAGTGTCGCCTCTTGGTGATTCTAAGCTCTTTGATAGGAAGTTAAGCGACGCAATTGACGCATGTAGGTCCCATGACCATGACAAAATGGTGGATGTAGTACGTGAAAAACGGGTTGAATTTCCGCTTAGTAAAAAAACATTAGTGTTACATTTGGGACAACACTACATACATATACTAAGTTGTTAAGTGTGTAAGTGATTAAATACATAGTGCATGAGTGCATAGTGTGCCATTTGGGACGCAGCTAATAACTTCAACACCGAGTTCGAAAACTCTTTTCAAATGAGTAGAATTGACTCAAAGTCAATTTTGTGTTAATCACTCATTTCATTTGATAAATTTGATCACTGGTTTTTATGGTGTATGTTTCATTATTGTTTAATTATAGGGTATTACTTACTGTATTACTTCAATAAAATGAATCCATTTTGAAATAAGACTAACATAAAATGTGGAAATAGTGCTACATTCTGGATGCATTTAGAATGTATTCCTGTGAAAACAAAGTACAGTTGATTCTTCATTATTCCAATTATCAGAGATAATTTCACTTATTTAAAACATTCATTCTGCTTACTAACCATCTAACTTCTTTCCAGGGTTCTTTGAATACTGACATCTTCTTCAACTAGAATTTTAAAACTGTATTATGATCAGTTGATTTAGTGTATATATTACAGTAAAGAATTGAGATTTGTTTTCACATTATATTTTTATTTGTGAGGTGAAACATGATCCTGACACATGATCCTGACATTTTTAGTAATAAAAAAAAACAATGTATACAAAAATATGTTGTGTTCTAGTAATCCAGGCACTAAAAGAAAACCCCCTAAATAAATAGAGTACTATTGCAGTATTACAGTGATGACATCATATGGTAACAACATGATACTGTTTCATTATTCATGTACTATTTTTACATAGTACAAGGCACTTTCAAATAGGATTTAATCATTATGTTGTCCAAAAGAACCATAGTATTATCATGGTACCTACGGTTTTATATTTACCAGAAGGATGCTGAAGCCTCTTAATTTTCACAATACTGAGCCGGAGAATCATAATCTTATTCAGCATGAGAGCTGCACAGACTCGGTGTTACACCATTAGCTTTAATTTGCTCTATTTCTAGGCCTTTCTGAGGCAGGAACACATGTTGATGTCTTCTGTTGCCATGGTGACCATGGTGATGCTCATTTTGGAAGCTCTTCAATGATCACCCTGGACACAGAGTTCCATCCTGTAGACGCATCACCACGAGGGTAATCGGCACAAGTACCCACCCATATCCCGACATCCACCAGACCAGCATGAATGCCCTCACAGAGCCCCTCCACTGAGATAGAGAGAAAAAACACATTAAAACATGTCTATTAATAACCGAGATCACAATTAGAGAAAGATTCATAAACACTTGATTATTCTGTTTTAATAACGCAGGTGTCACAAGCACAACTCTAACCATTACTACACAACTGGCCTTTGTTTGACTTCAGCATATCGTCGTCATCGCAACACATCACCAGTCTCTCACAGGATTCATACATTCTCCTTCGGCTTAGTCTCTGTTTCAGAGGTTCACAGCGGAAGGAACCGCCAACTATTCCAGCATATGTTTTACACAGTCAATGCCCTTCCAGCTTCAACCCAGTAATGGAAAACACCAATACACAGTCATTTACACACACACACACACACACACACACACATAAACGGACAATTTAGTTTATTCAATTTACCTGTAGAGCATGTCTTTGGACTGTGGGGAAAACCAAAGCACCCGGAGGTAACACATACTAACATGAGGAGAACATGCAAAGACCACAGAGAAAAGCCTCCAGGCCCAGCAAGGATTCGAAATAGTGGCCTTCTTGCTGTGAGGCGAGAGGGCTAACCACTGAGCCACCTGCTCCGCCTCTCTCACTGGATATAAAAAAAATTGTTGACACTAAAAAACTTTTACTTCACTGCCTTTTTTTTGTGTTGACAATATATTTTGTTGTTGACATAACTGGAGAAACCAAAGACTTGCTTTACTTCTTGTAAAAGGGGCATGAGAGGAGCTGTTTAATTGTCAAGTTGACGACTATTATTTCCAAGTTTATTCAGTCTCTCTCACAGCTTTCCTGTGATCTTGATCAGCTTCTTTTTCAGTCTCTTCCACGGAATGCTGACTCTACTGTGCTTCCTAGCTATAACTTTGTCATCAAGGATTTTCCAGAGATTTTTAATCAGGTTTAGTTCAGGACTCTGGACTGCCATTTCATTATTTCAATGTTTTCATCTTCAAGGAACAACTATACCCGTTTTCTGTGTGTAAGTCTTCATTGTCCTGCAGGAAAATAGCTGGCCGATCAGGTGATGAATGCAGGGGAAAAAGCACATTCTGCTGTAGGATCTGCAATAAATATTCCTCAGTATCCAAGACTTCACCTCCACCTTTCACTTCTTTTGGGTTCAGTCTTGAGTCTAAGTTCAGTTTGTCGAACATAATGTTTACTATTAAACCCAAATGAATTCAACTTCAAAGTGAAACTTTGATTCAGTTCTCTGTCCAATTAAAATGCTCCTCAACAAATATCAGTCTGGCCTTTATTATTTCTGCTAAAGCGAGGTTTGTCACTGTAAGCTTTCGGTCAGAATTTTCTTTTAATATTGAGACTGCATGCCGAGAAGATCCTTATACTGTTCAGCATTGAAATGGAGTGCAGTTCCAGCAGCAAAGTTGAACAAGTTTGGACCCAGTCCCAATTCTATATGTGCACCCCTACCCCTTCCCCTTGGCCCTTGAAACAGAGTGTGAAGAGGAAGGGCTTCAAAATTTACCCTTAGGAAATAGGACACCCCTACAACACCTGTGCATGTCATCATATCATCACGATCTCTTATTTCATATGATATCGATGATGGCGACTGCTGTAGTTATTCCAGTTGTGTTCTTTTTTTGGTATTTATCTTCACGAAATCACTGAATGCAATGATATCATGTTGTCATAATGATATAAAGTGGCAATAAGCTTGTAACTGTACTGTGCCATTACACAGTGACCATTTTCATCCATGTAAACACACGAAAACAACATTAATATTATACCAGACACAGTGAAAAGCTCACTAGACTTTTCTGAAAGGGTATTCAAGTGTCATGGAGTGTCAGATATGAAAGTATGTTGTGGGACTGTTATACAGGAGTTATTATTATGGATTATAAAAAGGGAAAAAAAATTTTTGTAAAGCATGTCGAAGCTAAATTTTATCTTAGCGTTTTTTTTTAAGCTTGATGGTAAAAGCAAGTGGCAACCTACGCTCTCCCTCCAGAAGCCAATACAGAAGTAACTGAAACTGCAATTCATCGAAATTCCGCTAGTCCTGGCTCCATAATAAAACAAATTTTAATTGAGCTCACTGTGAGAATGGCCAACTTAACAGCAGAAAAAAAAGGTGTTTACAGCCTGGTACAAATAATGATTTTCGTTCATAAAGCTAATATTACCCTTCATGACAAAAGTAAGGGGGTGATTTAACTTTTTTCTATAATATTTACTTTATATCAGGCTATATTAAGTTTGCATAATTAAGGGCGTGGCCACTTGAGTGACAGTTTGGTCTAGCTGGTCGCTGTCACTTCACCCTGACTGACTCCGGCAAATTAGCCACTGAACTCAGCATATACATTGTATTTTTGTTTTGTTTTAAGTGGCTTTACACAGTCAGTTGCCTTTCGGACTTATTTCTTACAATTATCAGATGATATGGGGATGCTGTGTGCACTTAATTGTGCTCACAAACCATTCACGTGGCCTCCATTTCCCATGTGTGTAAAGTTATAAGCTTATATACCATCTCTATAAATTTATTTGTTTTATTTAAGATCATTTATCATTTATATTTTTCTTTAGAACTTGAATGCACTTCAGAATCTGACAGATTGATTAGCTTTAGGCTCTAGAACAGTCATATGAAGTGTTGTCATACAGTGTATTGCCTGGATTTCATCAATAGCCTTGCATTTACTAACAGACTATATCTGAAGTGTTTGGACGCAATTCGCATTTTCCTCCTGTTGTAAAACATCATAAGAACAATGTTTAGTGGCTCAATGTATTACAACTGTGTTTTTAAAAGTCTAAACACTTTACTGATATAGTGTACAACCAAGCACATGTGGTCAGAACACAAACGAGTCACAGGTAATAAAGTATTAAGCGTTTTCCCAAAGTAAAGTCTGTCTAGCCAGGTCCAAGCAAAATGCCAGCAGGTGTCTGTAGCTCCGCTCACTCTCCGCCTCTTTGCCCTTGTCTGGAATCCTGTCAGGGGTGCGATGATGTGCAAACAAAATGGCGACAGTTGGCCGCGCCTACTTGTGTCTTCTTTCGCAGTGTTCAGAAACCTATGGGTGACGTCACGGATACTACGTCCATATATTTTACAGTCAATGGGTAAAACACGAACATGGTTATGAATGTATTAAAACATGTGCTTGTTCGTTGTTAAAAAAATGTAATAATGACAAAAAAATACTAATCTGTGCATCTCCTTACTTGCGTGTGCAGCCATTCTGCCATTCTAGATGGTGTATTCTGGGAAATGTTCGTACCTTTTCATTTCGAGTGTGGACCTGAAAGATCTCCATTTCAAGGGCTACTGTATCTAGCCCTTCTCCTTAGCCCTACGCCTTCAGGATAAAGAGAATAGGGGAAGGGCTAAGGGGTAGAACTGGCATTTGGCCTTAATTTGTTTTTGTGGACGACAAGCCTTTTTCGGGAATCTGTATGAATTAGTGTCTTTGTAAAAAAGCAACATTCTAGAAAAGTGGTTCTAGAAAAACCCAATAAATTAAGATCATTTCTAGAACATCATGGATATGGATGGAATGAGCACTTTTGCTTGCTATGACTAAAAGCATCATAGACAACCTGTGCTCAAATGGTTTCGGTCAGTTTATAACGGCTCGCTATTTTTATAACTGATAAGTTAGAGTTCTAATTAAATCTTTTAATGTCTATCTACTGTTTTATATAGTGACATAACTATAGTTGTCTGTCTGTCTGTTTCATTTGTGAGGTCAGTTTAGTTTTGCTAAATGAGTATAAATGTTATTTATTTCAATCTCTGTATGTGAGATAAGACTGTTAAACAGTGATGATCTGTTCATCATGAGTAAGTGTAGAGTAAGTGCTGGGATGTGAGGTGGTGAGAAACCACACAGAGCTCTCGAATTCCTCTGGTCTCTCTATAATTGCAGCATAGACGGTTATGAAAACTGGCAAACTGCATTCAACCACACAAAGGAACAGTCAGAGAGACTCAGGAGATAAAGATATCTCCACAAGAGTCCATCTCTGCTTTCCAAAAATACAATGCACATGTCTTATGTATACAACAGTGGATTGTTGTTATAAAAGAACGTTTTTTTTTCCCCAAATGTAATTTTATATTTAAACTGTTGTACTGATGAGGACGTTTTATAGATTGAATTGCACAATCTGATAAAATCTGTTTATTTCCGAATATACATAATGTAAATATGTACATTTTAATGGGAAGTATATTTTGTGACTCTTTTATGTCTGCTGTGTACCATATTTCGGAAACCACAAAGACAAAAAATAGATGTGAGCTGTATCTCCATAATTGCAGAGCATGCAGTTATAAACAAGCAGTTATAAACAACACATGCAGTTATAAACAAGAATTATAGTTAAAAATCTTCTTATAGCATCAAGAATATATGAGAATGATTGACTGTATGAATGTTTAGGAAGCTATTTAAAGACATATGACTAAAACGAGTAAATGTGAATCGGTATTAATCATTTTAAAGCTATTTTAAAACCGTTCTACTGTATTTTACTAATGTATTTTAAAATTTATCATTGAAGTTTTTATGTTATATTGAGGTTTTTTTTTTTTTAGAATATGCAAAAAGGTACATAAATTGGGATCATACAAATACAAAGAAACATCAACGAAAACAAAACAAAACAACAACAACAATCAGGTACTGGTAGGTGCGTGTGTGTGTTTGTGCATGTGTGTGTAAAGGTAACTTGGTGGACAGGTTGGTACATACATAAGGGACAATAACAGTCAATAAATGAAGCAAATATCACAGATATAAATAAAAGAGACAGAACAAAACCAGTCGGTGGTAAGAAGTAACAATGATGCGAGTAATGTATGATGATAATGACAGTAAAAGGAAAGAAAAAACAATAGTAATAATAACTGACAACAACAATAATAATAAATCACAAGTGCTACACCAACTACTACTACTGAATAGGGGTGTCAAAATTAATTGTTTCTTCGGTGCACCGCGATGCAGACACGGACAATTAGGTATCGGTTCAGTAATAATCATAACCGGTTATTATGTACTGACGTCATTTATCTCCTATGCGCTCTGTCGCGAGGGAGGTGAGCGCGAGTATTTACAACACTCAGCCAACTCAGGGCCGGTCCGTAGCATAGGCACCATAGGCAAATGCTACGGGCGCTGTATATCCAGGGGGGCACCAGAAAGGAGCGCGGTTCAGTTGGTTTTGTTTTCGATATTCCTGACACACATTCAGTTATAGACAGCAATAACTCAAAAACCTCTTACCTTAAAAAGATCTAAAGTGTGTTTCCTACAAAAAGACAAAGCTGGTTATGTTTCACAGCTGTCTTTCTTTTTTTTCACTCGACATTACGAGCACTGCTCCGTTTAAGCCCTCACAATATGTGTTTAGCCGGGAGAGTTCGCGCTGAGAGGAGCTCTCAGTAAGGGACCGTCGGAAAAGTGCTTCTTATTTTAGTTTTTTTCGTTTTTCCACAACCACAAGTTCTACTACTACAATTTCTACTAATACTGATACTACTACGACAACTACTACTACTGATACTACTACAGCGTCTGCTACAACTAATACTACTACAACAATATCTACTACTACTATTGACATTACTACCGCAATCACTGCTACTACAACATCTACATCATCAACATCTACTACTGATACTACTACACCAACAACGACTACAACTACTGCTACTGCAATTACTACTACTACAACATCTACATCGACAACCTCTACTACTAATACTACTACACCAACATTGACTACTACTACTACTACTACTACTACAACACCTTCACTACTTCTGATACCACTATACCAACAACATCAACTACTACAGGAACTACTTCAATAATCACAACTACAATCGATACTGCTACTATGACTACCACTACTACTTGTATTACAACAACTACAGCAATCTTAATAACGACAATGGTATAAATACTTATGATAATGATAATGAGGAGATAACAGGAGGAAAAGTCAAAACATTAATAAAAATTATAATGATAACAAATGTAAAAGTAATACCATTAATGATAGAAGTGACGAGGCAAGGGGAGGTTGGGTGTTATATTATGTTATATTGACTCTTTACGCTTTGTGTCATCTTTGTAAATCTAATTGACTTTTAGAGAAAAAAAGTCTGCACCTTTTCTGGTACTGTACCTGTGGATGTTCTGTGGATGTTGATGGTGGAGTTGAGTTCAGGGCTGCCTTGGTCCAAGTAAACGATGGATTCTATGGGTAACGGGCCAGTGCATTCTGCTCCGTTAAAGGTGAAGTACCAGCGCTGACAGCAGGCCGTCTTACACTTGAGTCTGAGAGATCCACTGAAGAGCACACGCAGAGCACTGTCCGAACGTTGCTTGGTAAATGTGCACTCCTGAAACAGAGAAAATACAGGTAATGCACTCTTAAATCATTCAATCTTTTTAGCCAGGGTAAACATAATTAAATCGTGTGCTGGATGGATGATGATTTGCTAGTCAAAATCTAGAATTCTAATAGTTAAATTAATAATATATTATAATTATTGTTGTCTTAGTGTATGAAATAATGTATTTATGCAGTATAGGCACAGTAAATAAACATCTGTTTTATTTTATAAAATAAACTGCATAATGTACTATTATTATTTAAGCTTTTACTAGTCTTGAAAAGGCTAATGAATGTCTAAAGAGGACTACAGATAACAGTTTCAGGGAATATAAAAGTCACATTTAACAGAAAACTCTCAATCTCTAGTCTGTTTCACAGCCGCATCATGTTACTATGTATACACTATTACAACCCGTTTCAGGGAAACTCTTTAAATACTGTAAATACTGAGTTATTGAAAAGGAGCATAATGGTCATATGCCTCTTTTTAGCCTTTGTCTTTGCTGACTGTATTTTAAAATTGATTAAAGTTTTGTAGCAGAGATGCCCAAAATATTGCCTGTGGGTCAAAGTTGGCCATTGTAACCTTTGATTTGGCCACCATCCCATTTAGGAAGAGAGTGAGAAGGATGGAGAGGGCTGGGGCGAATGCCTTTAAAGTGCTTTAAAAAGATTGTAATTTCTAATTTGACGTAACCTTTTGTTTGTTTGTTTGTTTGTTTTATTGCTGAGCTACAAAAAAGCAAACCAAAATAAAATGTTTTACATCAATGTCCTAAATTAATCAGTTTGTTTTATTATGTACAGTAAATAATGTCACTCGATGACAAGAGGACTATATAGAAGACATCAGTAAGCAAATCATGACAAAAACTAGTGTAACTCCATTTTGTTATAAATGAGATTGTTTTTGTTTTTACTGTAATAAGTTTATATTACACACAGTAAACACACACACACTGTATTATTGACCGCAGACACGTGAACTAGGAGAATGTTTTTCTCTCGCGCTTGAACCACATCTGACAGATTATAATGGCTTTAACACACACCTTACTAAGTTGTGTGTCACAAAAACACTCTGTAATCTATTAAAAAAGCTATTAAAACTCATTTTCAGAGCACAAACTACCTATTGTAAACGCTGTAAACGGAAGTTCTAACCATTTTACCGGAAGACGCTGGTTGCTATGACACCCTCCATGCAACAGCTAAGAAAAAGGTCTACACTGTCTACATATACGCCTCAATCAAGTTTGGTTTTTAGCCCTTCATAAAAAAATTTTTTGGCCACCCCTGATTTATAGAGTGTAATGATACAGTACATAGTTTTCTAATTTTGAGATTTAAATATTGTATATTAATTTATAAGTAGTGGAGTGTTAAAGGAAACAATATGTTTCGCGAATCACATCACAGAGTCAATTCTCTAAACCGGTAGGGTTTTTGCCCATTTTTAAAAACATTTTAAGGTATTTTTGAGGGATTGTCTCTCCAGATAAACAACCCCCCACCCTCGCCATAAAAAAATAAATAAAGGATTATTGAAGCATTATAAAAATAACAGTCTAGTCCAACTTAATGTTTGCTATTAAAAAGTAGCATTTTTGTATGAGACTGCGCACATGTTTCAAAACACTTCACAATTTAAAACATTTTTGTTTTTGTCTTTAAAAAACTGATTTTAGACAGAAATTTACAAATAGCTGGTTAGCACATCACTGTTAGCCTCTTCTAGCTTTTTCTGGTAACTAGTCAAAGAAAAGACTATGTTATGTCTATGTTATTGCAGTGTTATCAGCAAATCAATGTAGTGATGATGTAATTTCCTGAAACTCCAGAACTCTTATTCTCAAAACTGAGTGGCCATGAACAGACTGTAGACTTTAAATGATTTACCTTGCGGGAATCTTAACTCATTCATTAAGATTATACATACTTACAGCGATTTTGCCCAGATCAATGCCATAGTTTAATGAATTCCAAGCACACTGTTTAAAGTTGGGCTTCCAGGGTTCCTCAAACCTCTCCGACACACACTCTCCTTTCTCGCCTTTAAGCCCGTCTCGCCCAGGGATTCCTGGTGTTCCTGGAATGCCATTTATCCCTGGATTCCCATCTCTGCCCTGTACTCCAGGGACACCCTGCACGCATGCCTGGTACTAATGACAAAAACATACACAAATGGGCATGAAACTAGTTCATTACTTGTCAGAGAGTTTTGCCTTGTTAAATATGGCCAGTGATTCACTATGATGCACAGACTGCTGTGGGTGGGAAAAGACCATGACCGTGTGACATGGACACGTTTGTGGTGAAATGGGAAAAACAATGAAAACATAAAATTGGATGAAATTGACTTGCGTAAAATCCCCTGACCACAGTCACAGCCTGTTTACTTCATTCACGCTCTGACAAAGCAATAGCAGTATCAGGCATTTATATATAAAGTGGGTTCATACAATATGACATATATGTGCAAAACTGTTTTACTGTTTTTTACATTAGTGAGTAACAAAGGCAAAATTAAATAAATTAAATTTAGTAACTCTCAGCTTAATATGTTAATTTAAATTCAGTCCATATAAATTGTTTGCAAACAGTTATCTTCAACTTAAATGTGTAAATCCAATGAATCTTTAAATCCAATAAATTTTTTAATGTACATTTTAAAAAGGTATCACTCCAGTGACAGCTTGTGTGTGTGTGTGTGTGTGTGTGTGTGTGTGTGTGTGTGTGTGTGTGTGTGTGTGTGTGTGTGTTTACACAATGAAATATACAAATTAAGAATTACTAAAACACTACTAAACAAAAATGACTATAACGATGACTTTATTAGTGTCCACATCAATTCACAGTATTGTTCTTGACGATGCTGTGTTTTCCAACATCATTTGATAACTTGTTCCCCTTTGTAGGCTTCTATTGTTTTATATGAGAACTAAATCTCATCATCATTAAAGCTATCATCTTTGTTGTAAATGGATCTGCAGTCCACAATTACATATTATATTCTGCTCTTCTGAAGTTTTCAACACTTTAGTCCACTATCCTGGGGCTTCTCCAAAAATGACAGTTATCTGTTGCCTTGCGGTGGTTTTACAGACCAAGCCCATCTCTCACAGGTTTTATGAAATCATACCCATATGTGTGAACCCATCAGCGAGACCTAAAACCTCAAATGAGTCTTTGTGCTGTGGTTAGTTCGCATCTGCTGACAAAAATGTGGAAAGTACAGTTCTGTGTTTAGATATTACTCATTTGCGGGTTGAAAATTGAAAATAAGCCAACCAAAAGCAGCTCAAAATTTACTAATATTTGGTAGCTTCCAAATAAGAGCTGCCAAAGAAATGTACCGGTTGGAAATGCCATCTTTCTCATGCCTAACCAGTGTGGAAATTAACAGAATTTCTGGTCAAACTGCTTTCATTTCAGTTGAGCAGCCGAATGAATCATATTTAATAAAATAATTGATTGAACTCTTAGTGAACCAAATATAAATGGATCTTGATTTAACATTGTTAATTATGTTTGATGTTTTGTGTAATTTGTAACATTTTTATATTTAACAGATAAATTCATTTGACTTTCCACAATAAATTTATGCTGGAAAATGTTCTCCAAAAGAGAATCCAAGTTATGCAAATCGGTTGGTTTTAATGTTCAAATATTCTATAGAGCACCATCCATATTATACAATGTGGCATTTCGGTATTTTTTTTAAAAAGTAGGGCCTATTATTATTATTATTCCCTAAATTAACTTTTTACTTTAATTTACTTTTTACTTTACTTTTTACTACATCTCATGTATTTTTTTTTTCCGCTTAAATTGCATCGCATATATGCGTCAGCTGTTGCGTTTATTCCAATACGTCTTGAAATTGAATCGTTTGGCAATCGATTGGCTGTACAATTCAGTCGCGATTTGAACATTTCACAAAGCCTTTGTTCACCATATGGACATCTGATTTAGTGGATCTTTATGCATAAAGAATCTATGAAGCAACACAATACTCCTAATTGACCTGAATGCGTCATAAAGCTCTTATTGAATCCATTAAGTATAAGTGCCTTATTTTCATAGGGCCTAGGTTATGAGTTGCTCTTAAATCTTTCAATCAAATGCAATCAAACTAATCACAGGTCTTAGTATAGAGAGAGAGGAACGCTTCAAAAAGCAGAAACTGTATAAAATGTCACTTTAACAAAGGATAATTTCGCTTTTTATCCTAATTTAGGTCCATTCCAAATCAGCATGAAACACATTCTATAGCCTAGCTAAATGTCTGGAAGGGACAATAAAATCATAAGCCGGTATGATGATGACATTACTGCAAATAGTAGCCTACCTATTCGCATTTAGCCAATCTTACCTTGTCAGTAAACTCTGCGTCTCTTTGCCGGGGTATCCTTTCTTTGGCTTTTTGCGTGACACAGAATGGTAAACTTATCCAAAAGCAAATTAAAAGTTGAGTCAGTTTAGTACCCATCATTACCGAAATGCAGTTAGTTTGGTCGCTCCTGCTCTGGACTTCTGCTGCCAACCAACTGTTTCTTAAGAGACGGAAACTTCTCTGTCTGCCTGCAGAGGGCGCTGCGCTTGACTGCATGGAAAATGAATAGAGCTGCATTCAAACATAGGCCTACGTTTATTGTAAATCTGGAAACAGGTATGTAGACTTCACTTCAGTTTACTGACATATGTTCAGCATTTTCAGAGCACTGAATTCGGTATTCACAGCTACATTTATATTTGTTTTTACACCCAAACAAATATAACTGATAAACTAACTTGGCACAAGTTTAAATGATGACCTCCCAATGCTTTGAAACTTTTATAAACTTTAATAGTATACATATTTGCAGGTAATAATGCATGTTGCTAATGTGGTACAAAAGCATTAAGAGTATTTACACTGTGTAAATTAATTAAATCTAATTATTTTAAAATTACCCATTCATTTATAACCTTTTATTCTTGGAAAAGAGCTGTATTTAACAGTGTATGCCTGTGTAATGGTAGGTACACAACATTTATTTATTTATTTATTTATTTTTATTTTTTTATTTATTTTATTCATTCATTTAGATTGACTGTGCCTTTAAAGTAATATGATTTATTTTATGAAAAAATATTGTATTGTTACTCAAACTTTAAAAAATTAAATAAAATCAATTTAGAATCAAAACCTTAATATAAAAGCTAAACATAAATGCAAAGCTTGTACTGTAAATGTTTTTGTAATTACTGTGATTTTGAGATGAAAATATGTGATATGTTCATGTCTCCAGAATGGGAATTCTATGGCAACATGCTTACATGACACAAATCAGCACTCAGAAAATTGTAAGCCCATCCCATTGAATGCAGATAAGCCAATCGCAGTTGAGTTTTGTTAGTATAGAAATCCTTATTAAGTAAATTACCACTAGCAAAATGAGTAATTTAATCTCACCGTCTGTCCAAAGTGTATCAAAAAAATAAATAAAATAAACTTGAAAGGCAAGCCTCCTGCTTGGAAGCGGCCACATACATGTATTCTGGGAGGTTATTAGGCCTTTGTGTCAGACAAACTATACTAGCATGCTAAATATGAAATAAAATGTGGTAATCCATATGCAATGTAATATGTAAAAAATTATAACCAACATGTTTTGTATTAGTTCAGGGAAAGGAAATCGTCACTACAACTTCTTTTGACTCGTCAGCAGGAAGGAAAGTAACTCACACCTGTCACACCTGTCAACTATACAAGATATGTTTCACTTATGCATACAGCTAATTAGACTTTTTTTTTTTAATTTAAGGAAACAAAAATAAATAAAATAAATATTAGCCCTAGAGGTTATAGTGCACAATTTGTGGACCTCTGGATTCAGAAATAGTTGCTTCAAATCTAATGTTGTCATATTTTTTATCTTTAGTTTCTGTACTTTTTGAAAGATTTACATTTCATATATACACCATACATACCAAGTCATTATGTCATAGGCCAAAAAAAAAATATATATATATATATCAATAGATTTTATTTAATGACTGCAAAACCACCTCATGTGAGCATGAAAACGTATTTGCGTTGTATCCTATTCAACATGTATAATTGGTGTCGGACTGTCGGCTGATAAGAGTGTTCTGACTGTTTATTTAGCAACAAATTAGTGCATGAGTCCGACGTACTGTAGTGATGTGACATAGCAAGCAATAATCTAAGTCAAGAAGGATCACAAAGAGGTAATTTTGCTACAATCCCCAAATATTTGCAAACAAAATGGATTATTAGATTATGAGTCGACATGAGGTGGCAACACAGTTGGATTTCGTTGATGCTTGTTTGTTGTCGGTTTACCAAATTGATCGTCCAACGTAATCTCACGGCTATTCTTAACATTTTGATATAGTGGCTAATTCTTATGAATTCATACAATCTAATTCGTACAATTTAGCACAATTTGCTTATCACCCAATGATGGTTGGGTTTAGGTGTGGGGTTGAATGCCATGCCTCCTTTTCAAAATGGCACATTATCGTCTGACTGAACTAACTCCTACAAATTTGTACGAATTAGCCACTAAACTGACAAAACATAACTTACGTTTTCTTGTGAGATCAGGCTGGATGGTCCGCCATTAGGCTTCATTGGTCAACGTCAGTAGTTGGTTTTCACACATCGATTTTTATTGGTTAGGTTGGAGCTCGTTGACCGGATTCAGCAAGTCAAATCAACATCAGCCATCAGCTGAAGAGAGCACTCTGACTGGTTATTCAGCAATAAATCAACATGCGCAACTGTGACTTAGTGAATTCTAGCCGAGAAGACCCACAAAGAGGGCAGCTGTAATTTCGCTACATTTCTTAAATATCTGCAAACAATATAGATTGCTGGATTATCAGACATGTTTGCAGGAGCGAATTCCTCTGTGGTGAATGATAATTATAGTGATGATGGTATGAACTTTGTTTATGCTTTACACATGCTCATCAGGACGTTCTAGTCTACCGTTGTGAACGGGAAAATAGATAATGCCCCCCATGGTGCGGTAAGACTCAATAGTATCTGGATGCAGCCTTTATGATGCAAGCTGAAATTGCATCACTCAGCGATGCAATGTCAGGCACAAAGGACTAAATGAAGTGAGTGAAGCACTGTGACGGGTAAGGTTAGGGTTGGGGTTAGGTGAGCGCATTAAGGCCGTACTCACACTAGGTACAGTTGCCTCGAACCGGGCCAAAGCATGCTTGTCCTCCCTCCTGTCTCCCCCGACGACCCGCACTCACACCACAAATGGGCCTCGGCACGCTTACGTCATCGCTGCTGTGCTGTTCAGTGAGAAGCGCTCTCTCACTCAGCAGCACAGTGGAGATTTCTCTAGTTATATCATTTCAGTCGTTTGTTATGCAGTGACATGCAGTCAAATATTTCGCCAAACAGTCCTTAGGGATGCGGTGACACGCAGTTAGATATTTCGCCGAACAGATCCGCCACTTTTGGCGCTCAAACACAATCATAAAGCTCTCGTGCTGCAGGAATGAGGAGGTCTTCTGAAGGCGCGCAGCTGACGTGCAGTGAGGAGTTCTCGTCTTTAATAAGCTACGGCAGTTTGCGTTCACTGAACCGTAAGAATGATTAATAAATCCATATGAAACAGCCCCTTAAAAGTCACGTCTCGCTTTCAGTTTCGGGCTTTGGCGCTTTTTGCACTCACACACAAGCGTACTGTGCCAAAATCCAAGTCGCTCAGGCACACCTCTTCCATCCGGGCCAGGGCCGGCCAAGTGAACCGTGCTTGAGCCCGATTCAGCGCACTCACACTTCTCAAACTGCACCAGGTCTGCATCCAGACCCCTCTCGAAAGACTACGCAGGCACAGAATGCACTCTTTCGTTTCATTTAGCTGTCATCCATTTGGTATGTCCATGCACAGTTTTTTTTGGTCCAGATGAGACCATACGGGAGTCAATGCGAGTTGGGTTTCAAGTTGGGTTTCATAGGCGCTAGTTGTTGCATCAGCTCGGTGTGCTTCAGATTATTTTTTATGACTTTTTAAGCACTGTATTTTCAAGCACTCCACTTTCTTTACAAATAACTTCAATAATAACATAGTGATGTAAAAACAGTACTATTTATGCTACTAACCCATGTGGTTACATCTATGATAATAAGTTAAAGTGTTATTCTAAGAAATGCCAGAACAGCAAAACAAAATGTATTTTAGATCTAATAATGTCTTGATTAACTGGAGAACATTTAAGTTACAAAAAGCTGCTCCTTCTCTTATAAGATGAGGTGGATACTTATATGTGCTGGGGGGAAAAGTTGTTGCTGGACAAGTAGTCTATTCATTCAATGAGGGGCCATATGTTTCTCTTACCTCTGATGACCCGGAGGCACCACAGAGACAGCGACTGTAGGGGGTCTCAGACCACAGCTGAGGTATTTCCCTGTCAACATCCCATAACCCTCCTCCATGCCACAAATGAAAACACTAACACTGACCACATTCATAATGTTATCTCAGGAAATAGCAAACGTTTGCCTCTGAGGCAAATCAGTTTTAAGTGGCGGTCATGTTTGTAAAATTTCTGTGAAATTTATTTATATTTTATAGCTTTTATAGCCAGTAACTGGAATTTATGTTACATTCTGAGCCATTTTGGTAACGTTATGTCTTCTCTATTACTGTTAAATACAGTGTTGTTTTAGTAATTAAAATGATTAAGTGTCTTCATAAATTTAAATACAATAGGAACAAGGATACATTAATAATCAATTTTAAATATATATTATTAATAAAGATGCATATAAAAATAAATTAATGTTAATTTTAATAAATAAATACTTTAAAACAAAAATAAAATTAAATGTAAATCCTTAAAGAAAATACTTAAACTTGTAATTTAAAGTTGTAAAATATGTTTATTATTATTAATAATAATAATAATAATAATAATAATAATAATAATAATGTGAATACTTGTATTTTTTATATTTTTGTCATCCGTGTTGTTTTAAAAAATTAAAAACTAAAATAAAAGAAATAAAAACAACAATTTTATGTAACAATTTCATTTTAACAATTTAAACAATTTATATACATTTATTTAAAATATTATAAACAGCGGCTGCACTGTGGCGCAGTGGGTAGCACATTTACCTTACAGCAAGAAGGTCGCTGGTTCAGTTGCCGTTTCTGTGTGGAGTTTGCTCGTTCTCCCGATATGGTATAGGTGAATTGGGTAAAGGCTGATTGTCCGTAGTGTATGTTTGTGAATAAATGTATGGATGTTTCCCAGTGATGGGTTGCAGCTGGAAGGGTATCCGCTGCATAAAGCATATGCCGGATAAGTTGGCGGTTCATTCCACTCTGGCGACCCTAGATTAATGAAGGGACTAAGCCGAAAAGAAAATGAATGAATGAATTATAAACAGCATAACATGATACTAAAATAGCATTGGGTAACTATGAATAATTTTATTAACATATACACACACGCACATGCAAAAGATGACACAATTTACGTACAACAGACTACATACTGTCTTAATATGTAGTGGTAATT